TCTCTCTCTCTCTCTCTATATATATATATATATATATATATATATATATATATATATCAGCATTTAACATGTAACATTTTGATGGTTCATTTGAGTTTATTTTATTATTTTATTTGAACACAAATATTGGTACTAAAGGGCACCGAATACATATGCGCCACACTAGTCACTTGATTTGAGTGTTATCAGACTACTTATATAAATCAGCAGCACACTAGTTTTTGATACGTTATTATGTAATAATTCTTTTTACATATGTATTTATTTCTGCTATTCTTCTCAATTCACCTAGACAAGCGACAAAGATTCCACATCATATACCGGATATATTGATGACTTTAGTGGGCAAAATAAATTAGATGTTGAAATTGCTGTTGAAGCAATTGCTGCCGAATCATTTAGTTCCATGGATCTGATTGATTCAACTGAGTCAGTTAAAGAAATTCATGATTGTAAGAATGAATCAAGCTTTAGTCAACAGACAAATGAATCTCTTGGTGTTTTCTCATTCAATAACGATCTAAATACGAACTCGAATCTTCTTTCGAATTCTATCGATGTTTTTAGGACTGCTGATAGACATAATTCACTGGACTTAGATGAGTAAGTTTTTTTAATCTATACTGTCATATAACTCAATCAATATTGAACATTGTGAAACGTCTTGATGTTATACCCTTGCTGTTGATTAAAGAAATATCTTGGAGTTTTAAATTAGATCAGTTTATGGATTGATAGACTACTTTTCATACTTTTGTATTGTAGAAAATCACTCACAGTGATATCCGACTCTGCATTATTTAGTGACACAGTTTCAAACATCGATATCATCATATGCGAGCTTTATTATTTAAGCTAATATAAAACTGACCCTTATGTGCATTTATCGATAACCGTTTAATTACAGACAGAATCACAGTTTACCTCAAGTTTGTTAAACATCTTTACAAACCATGACTCCCAAAATAGATATGGAAAAAATAATCAGTAGATGTGAAATTTGGATTTATTCTCAAAAGTATACGCATAATCTTATTGATTTAAATAATCTCTTCTTACACATCAGATTCATGTGATGTAATTAGTTTACTTACATTATTCTGTTTAGTTATGTTTGTGTCACCAATTGTTTTTCTCCTTTCATATATATATATATATATATATATATATATATATATTGACATTAAGCTTGGAGATTTAGGTAATAGAGGGTATTGTTTTTAATTTCACTAAGTATATCGCATGTCTTGCATTAACGTTGAAGTATTCACTTGTTTGTTAATGAATTTAACACAGGGTTGATCAATTCATTCACGATAAGGATATTGATATGAAAATATCAAACTTGTAGATTCACTGTAAGCGAAGATGGATAGTGGCTAGCAGTGGAATCCAGAACGCGCGTTTCGTCCTTTTTGGGACTCGTCAGTTGGATGTACCTGCATTTCAGAGTTGATGTTCACTCTGGGACTCGAACCCGGTACCTTTCGCTTCATTGTCTTTGTCACTCATCATCAAAATAGCATTCAACTGTTAAGGTATATATGTGAATTCTACGCATTCGACAGAGGTCCTTGACACCCCTCGTGGAAGCATAGGCCACTGATCAGGATTCTCCGACCAACTCTGTCCTTGGCAACCCTTTCTGGTTGCTTCCAACTGCTATCCATTCTTTTGATTTGAAATTCCCATCCTATAACTGTTATTTGTGCTTCTTTGGACATTATTAGTGCAACTTCTTGTGGGCGCGAGTCATTTTCTTCATCATCAGAGTACAACAGCATCTCTTCTGAAGCTAATTTTCTGTATCCAGCATGGGTTCAACGGGTTTCACATGTTCTGAGAACCATCAAGTTATGTCTCCTCGTTTTCGCAACTATTTGATCGGTCCCCCTAGTCTACTACATTGTCCGGGCATCCCATGTACCTATATTAATTGTAGCTCTGGTTGTTAGAAAGGTCATCCGCCTCGTAAATTCTGAAGAATCTCGACTTTCACCATGAGGCGTCATAATTGTTCTAAATGAATATCCTTCAACTCCCAGGATAGAGTTCAAATGGTTTAAATGACTTCTTGTGGTTAGAGGTTTTTTAGTAGTGTTGTTTTCTATGAGATGAAGTTTCTGACCCCATGCCTAACCCTCCTCTTCTATCCGAGCTAGAAAAACCGAAAGTAATCATAGAAGTTAAAACACAGATTTCAGCGAAGGGATCTCTTTTCAACGAATTTATTATCAAGCTGTACAATCGTATATATATGAAAATGTTTTATTAAAGTACTAATCATAGAAGGGCTACAGGTTAAGTTACGTATTTTCTGATAACTAATCAAAGAGAATCCTCTAACAAATTGTTTAAAACCTGTTACTTATTTTATTTCCACATAACTTTTTATATCTTCTATCCATTTCATTTGGAATGTCCAGTTAACTAAGGCTGACAAATGCAGAAAACGGCTTAGATTAGGAAAAAAAACTGTCTGCCATATGAATTTGTACAATGATTAAAAAACGATATTGGAATATAATTATTTACCAAATATAAACAACACCGTGTAACCGTAAACAGTTTATAATATCTATCTTTACCATATATGGTCGATTATATTTTATGACTAGATCCTTTCACCTATTATTTTATTTTGATATTTAAAATATTTGCTAATCATCACATTTAAATCATATTGCTCTATGATTTTAAGTAAAAATAAACTTAGGAAAAGTTATTATTATTTCAGAAAATAGGCACGATTTAAAAAAAACACAATTAAACACTCAGTTCAATTGGCAAATTATGTCAACGTGTTGTTTGCAATGGTTTATATTTAAATTCGATTAAACGACATAATCTAGGGCGGTTTAATAAAGTGAATAAACTTTAAGATTGTTAAATTCAGTCATATATTGATTGATTGATGAATTAATATTTTTGAGTTTTGTTTAAACTATCGATTTAAAAAAAACATAGTCAATAATACACAGAAGTTGTTTTCTTGAAGTGTTTCATGTGTTTTCTTGACTACTTTTTCTTTAAAAAGATTATTTTTTCAGTAGATGTATGATCCTAGTACTCCCCTCTGTAGTCTGTATTAATGATAGTCTCGAACAAACAGACTGCATGATAGTAGTTGATTAAATGTTTAATTTATTTGTGAGCAATTTAGATTTTTATCCTTCACTGATGAGGTCGTATTTTTTATTCATTCGTCTACAATCTGTTTTCATAGTTTACTATTCTTTTTGTGACACTAAAACCCTTCATGGAGGAGCACAAGCTGCCGACCAGGATTTTCCGACCAACTCAGTCTTGAGCAATTTTTTCCGGTTGTTTCCAATCGCTATCTATTCTTTTGATGTTTGCCTCTTTTTTGTCTTGCTTTGAGGATATCAAATCGGCACCTACCTCATGATGCAGTTTGATTATTTCCCCCATGTGTTTCCTAACCAGTTTCAGCGTCTTCGTCTGATTTCCTCTTCACCTGTAAACTGGTTTGTTCAGTGCCACAGTAGGTTGTTGCTTATGGTATCCGGCTAACGGATCTGGAGTAACGTGAGTAGAAAATTGTACATAAATACCTGTATCTCTGTGGTGCTGCTTGTAATAGTTCTTAGGCATCATCACCAATGAATAGGGAGGATCAAATGCAGACGTAAAGGCAAGGATTGGCAAGGCAAGGTCAGCATTTCTACAGTTGAAGAACATATGGAACTCAAAACAACTGTCAATCAATACGAACGTCAGGACAGTTCTACTGTACGGAACTGAAACTTGTAGAACTATCACAACCATCAACAAAAAGGTACAAGTATTTATAAACAGTTGCCTACGTAAGATACAAAATGTCCATCGACCGGATACCATCAGCAACAGCTTACTGTGGGAGAGAACAAACCAACTTCCAGCTGAAGCGGAAATTAGGAAAAGACGCTGGAAGTGGATGGGACGTACATTGCTGAAATCAATAAACAGCGTCACGAAGAAATTGCTAACATGGAATCTTAAAGGGAGGCGACAAAGAGGAAAACCAAAGAACACTGCATCGAGAATTGAAAGCAAACATGAAAAGGATTGGCCAGGAAAGGGTTGGATGGGGAATGCTGATGGGCGGCCTATGCTCCTCCACTAGTTGTAACAGACGTAAGTAAGTAAGTGTAATAGTTCTCCAAGTTTCAGCTTCGTACAATATAATTGTCTTGACTCTTGTACGGGAGATTCTAACTTTGATGTTTGCTGACATCTGCATCAGATCTTTCCTGTTTATCAATGATGCTGAGGTTATACCTGCATCCCAGTGTTGATGCTCACACCAGGACTCAAATTCTGCCTTTTGCCTCCAACACCTAATGCACCGGCATCCGCTGAGTTAGTTGATCACGACAGTCACGTGTTTGATGTTTCTGTCATTATAAGAAAGAGTTTAAATTATCCTGTTGTTAATATCATAGACTGAATTTTGATCAGTATTTATTGGGATATATGTATCCTGTACGGATCGTCTCGCTATTGCCATTTTGGTTACGAGTTAAATCATTAAACTATTGTCAAAGCTTAGCGTTTGAAATCAATATCCAGTGTTTTATCAAAGCATATTATTTACCTATTGTTGTGACTGATATGCAACTACTGTTTATGCTATTGAGTGGTATATTTATTAGTTCACACAACGAATCATGAGCCTTAGTTTTTGTTATAATCTGATCACATGGCGAGTACAGTGTGCTTTTATTGTCTAATTATCAGTATGATGGTTTTTTCTCTCCTGTCTATTGTGATACTCTTTTCTGAGTGTTAGTTGATGATTGGATAATTATTTATCTTCGTATTATTTGTGTGTGTGCTTATCTTTATATATCTGTCTTGATATTGATGATTTATGAACAATTATATAATGGAGGAATATATATTTGTTTGTATACGTGCATATATATATATATATATATGTATATATATATATATATATATATATATATATATATATATATATATATATATTCCGGATACACGTATATACGCAATCAAATTTATCTTTAATCATAATATTCTTTGATTGTAAGAAAAATAGTTTTCAGTTAAGTTTATAAGGTCAGTTCTCAATAATTCATTATATATCGCGTAGAAATCAGTTTTTTTCTTAAATTGCTCATGTTAATTTGTATGTTAATGACTTTTTAATCTTATCGTTATTGTTAATACTGTCGTCGTCGTCAGTTTCATAATCCATCCTCATTGTTATTAATAAAAAAAACATGTTAATTTAGGCAAACAAGGCGAGTATGTCAGTGTAAAAACCATTTAATTATGGTTGAAATTCAAAATTATTCTGTGTATTAAACAATATTCATAAGAATAATATGAACTCACTATCTGAGACTCAATGTATATCTCATCATGTTACAACCATCAGGGCATTATTGATTGATTTCCATAAGTTGTAGATGATCATTCAACCTGCTTATTATTTTTTTTAACGGAATGGTGAGATTTATATTTTGATTAAAATCTCCTAGATAATAATACTACACTGTAGTTTTGAATACCTTTAGGGCATTTTTATAGTTTAATCATTTCCCGTTATTTATCAAAATTTATTTATCAGAAATGCCGGTTCAGAATTTGTATTCGGCCACACCACTCAAACTTTCAACTAGTCAGTGACTTTAGTTCGTTTAGACAAGATAAATTTCTACTCATCACTGAAAAATTTATGAAATTAATTTTGAATCATAGTTTATGTCGATAATGTTTTTGTTTTGCAGTTTGTTCGCTTTTCGTAGTAAATATTGGCTTATTTCATCTTTAAAATATTTAAAATCATAATTGTAGTAGGGTGTTAATACTACTCATTAAAGTTATAGGAATGAAAGTTCCATAAATTGTTGTTCATCACATTTTTGTGCTTTTGATAAAATATTTTACCTATCTGGAGTTGAGTTATAGGTCCATCAATGAACGAGCTCAAACTTCCACTAGAAAGTTACAGTTTCAATTTTGACTGAGCTTACTATTGATCGCGAATCTATGAATAGCCGTTAGAATTTTGAACACCTTAAAATTTTAAATATCTATGACGAATTAATCATTCATCTAAGACGGCCCCCAATTCCCTATTATGCCTGAGGATGAGAGGAGTTCGCTGACTCTTTCCAAATGATTTCATACAGCCACATGTTTATAGAAGCTGTCAGAAGAGTCCTGCTCAATAAAAACATAAAGTCAAATGAACAATGGAAGCTATGCGTTTGGATAGATAATTGGATTCCTGGGGACATTTCGTAGTTCAGATAGATACTTTAATTAATGCTACGTTTTCTGAGTTCAGTGATTTAATAGCGAAACCCTTATTATCGTTCTGGACATCATCAACATCTAGTTCAAATAGAATTCAGCTTCCTTATCATTCGACAGGCGTTAAACTACTTTATTCCGTTAAATCGACTTACAAATTGTTGTTTCCACTCTCTTGTGTTAGCATCTCGTTTCTTTGCGATCCCAAAGACTGTTTTGTTCAGTAACCTCCTATCATGCAATTAACTTACTTTTCCCATATACAACCATAAATTCGATCTGTTTAGATTCAGGTTGACGTGAACTTCGTGATTCTAGAAATTCCACGGCTTTCCATTCAAGCCATCCAACATTGATAGCACAACATCATAGTTTAGTTCTGTACTGATCATCTTTAACCAATTCAATCACACTCCGTCAAAAATAATGTAGAATGATTAGTCTTTTAATCATCACACGTTCATCACAAGCTTTAGACCCGAAATGTCGTAGTATGATCAAGGGTGAGGAAATGTTCCCATATGGCTATGTGTTTGTAGCCACTGTCAAGGGAATCCAACTGATTGTCTTCTGGTGGCTTGTTGTTTGCAAAAACCAGAATGAAAACCGAATGTCCGGGGCGTAAAATGGGTTAGTGGACACGGATGATCTACCTAGGGGAGTTGGAAAATCCTGATTTCAAACCAATGGTGCATCTAGGCTGCAGGATCCCAAAGAATCAAAAGGCGTATGAAACTATCGTTGGTCACTGGCTACCATAGGGTGACATTCTGACGTCGCCGCACTGCCTCCTGGATTAGACCTTAAAGTCAAGACTGGATGAGTGGTCGCTTAGAAAAGCAGTGCGCTCAAAAATATGACAATGAATAATTATTAAGAAGTTGATTAACGTGCCCTAGTTCCCTGCCAACTGAAAAGATTATTATTACTTATTTGATTCAAGTGTTTTGTTTTATCCCAATACACCTTTGCATAGGTTTGTTTGCAACCTATGCTTGTTATTGTTTTGCACAGGCGCTCGTCTACGGTAGAAATTTATCTTGTCTAAACGAACTAAAGTCACTGACTAGTTGAAAGTTTGAGTGGTGTGGCCGAATACAAATTCTGAACCGGCATTTCTGAAACCTCGTGTGTCATTGAAACTTTCCTCCTCCAAGAGTCGCACACTAATACAGATGGGAGAATAGATGGGATCTGTTGTGTTGTTTCTTTGGAAAGTTTTGACGTCGACGTCTGTTAATTATGAGAGACTACTGATATTAGAAGCTGTAGTGAAGTTGTACGTATTCACCCTCCACATCTATTGGAAGAGGTTGTTTCAGGTGCCTTTGCTTGGCAAACTTGTGACACGTTCGTCCGGTCTAGCTGTCATACGTATCGTGCTAAGCAGCAGATGTGAGGCAGCACTAATTGATCGGATCCCCGCTAACAGTGGATTATGAGCTGTTATATTGGAAGGCTCCATCAGAGTGCTAATAAATCATCGATGTGACAGACAATGTCTTTTCATTATCCGCGCCTACTAAGCGAATGGTTGTTGCCGAGATGCATGTTGTTTGAATGATAAAGCCACAGTTATTTATGTTAAGTTTTTGCTTAAAAGTGCTGAGAAGAATATGATGTATGCAATCGAAATTCAAAAGTTGTTCGTCAAAAATGACGAGGTTTATGTTCTAGTCTTTAGTGTGGATCGGACGTTAGTAGTGAAGAAACACGATGTTGGTGCAAAGCAAAATAAGAAAATCCTTGACTTACCTTTGGTGCTCGTTGTCGCTTACTATGATACTTTTGTGAACACTTGAATCTGTTCTTAAACTATACAGGTAACTCTGAACAGAACAACTTAAAGTATATTTAAGCCAAATATGTTTGGTTGAAATAACAAATTTGTACACAACCTAATTATTATTTTTGAGTTACCCCATCTAGTTTGTTAGAAGTAACCTCCAACATTGTAGTTGGATGCAATGAAAGATGATTTTCACCACCATCTAAATGATTTTGTCACGGAAGCATATCTGATAGGTATTGCACCGTCAGTCTAAGACTTGTATACCCTGGTCGGGATCGGATGATGTTTGTCCTGGTGAACAATGAGAGCGGGTCGGTCAACAGCTGCTGTTTCCTGCATCTTTGCTCGAACAATGGGCTATTTCTCCTGGACATCAACTTACGGTACATTATTATTCTATATGCTATCTGGCTCTGTCCCTCTGTGACTGATCACATCACGATAAGTCACTGCTTGCATGGTTGTGTACGAGAGTACAACGTTTTTAGTACTTATCTGTATTCTGATCATGTCTTGGTGTTCGACACTCGTATTTTCTTATTGATCGATAAACTCATCGTCTTAAATGGATTGGTGTAAGGGAATTTGCTGAAGCTTTTGTTCCAACCAGTGATCATACCGAATTAAATTCAAGGGTAGCTAGCGGTTCACGGTAATGCGTAGTCGAGTTTTGACTGAATTTTCATGATGCCATAAAAATGTTGAGTAAAGTCTCTTAGAGTTTTCCGAAACGGCTTGATTATAAGTCTTAGGTTTTTGCAAGCTCTTTATAGTTCCTTAAAGCACGTTGGTTTACACCGAGTGATAAACTTGGATTCTTACATGAGGAAATTGTGTAAAGTTTGCGTATAATTCAAAAACCCTGTCGTCTGGGCATATACGTACATAGTCTGTTTACTATGAGGCACACAAGATAAAATTAAAACTAGTAAATCAATAAATTGGAAAAAGCAAGAATTTGAGAAACAGTATTGGGTAATAATAGATCAATATTATTCCTATTTAACTAATGAAGGAGAGCACAGTCGACAATTATAACAGGATCGTCAGTTGTTGCTGTTTTGAACCTTTCCTGATATGTCAAGTTGCTGAGTTTTTTTTCTCTTTTTGAACCGACTCAGGAAAAATGACTAATCAAAGACATTGATCTACATCCACTTCATTCCACGGAGCCAAGTTAAATGACTTCGTCCTCCTCTTCCAGGTAGTCCCAGCTTTGGGAAACGATACACGGCATATAAGCCGCTAGTATGACGTCTTTTAAGTGTGAAAAAGGCACTGAAGCCGGAGTTTTAAATTGTAAGTATCTATTGTATTATCATCTCGGCTATGTTCAAATAAATACTGCTGGATTTCGACCTACATAAGCAATCCTTCGGATTAAATATTATTAAACACGAAGTTGTCAAAAATAATTCAAAGAAGCTAGGACTCAGGATAAAATCTTCAAGATGTTGATAAACTTTTAAGGTTCACTTTTGCGGAGTAGGAAATTCCAGAGCGTAGTCGATTGTCAGCCAGAAATTCACGGTGTTTTTTGGGATTCGATCAGTGCATCTACAACATATACAAAAACCAGTCTACTTTTGTCAGTTTTCAACTCCTTTGATCGAAAAATCTTGTAGCTGTATGATACTGGGTTTTTTGAGAAATATATCACCTTACTAAAGGCTCTTTACTCCGTCATTTTTAGAGTCAGATCACAGGAAACTGTCATCTCATTTGTCTAAATCAAATGCTGTTAATTAAGATTGGCCGCTTATTTATTTTCATCATAAACATGATCATAAAAAGAACAGTGTATTCATCTGACATTTTTGGATACATTCCGCCATCTGTTTACCTATTGATCAGCATAGAGTACTCAGGTGGCATAGCTGTTTAATGAAGATAATTATTCGAATCCTTCAAGGGAACAAATATAAAAAATTCAGCTGTTATTGAGACTATTTCGGGAAAAGGCGAGGCGATTATTTACTCCTAACTCAGGAAATCAGACAAACAAGCAAAACACTTTTAGCTACAGTTCAGCTAGCTTCTAGTTACTCACTATTCCAAACAACCAAAATAGGCGATGGGAATAGTCCTCCCAACCCTTATTTAAGCTAAAAGACTACAAATGATCAAAAGCAAGTGGTTCACTTTTAGCATTTAAAGTAACTGACATATCAGCTATCATTTTGAACTTGAACGTAATCCTAGCTTACTGGTTTCGATCGCTAATCGTCCTAGTTTATAAGAAAAGACAAAAGTCCTTTTGTAGGGGTCACAGAAGTATCAGTTTGACTAATGTAATATCTAAAATAGCTTCATTAGTAATCGGACGCCAAACCAAAGCTATTGAAGAGGAAACTCGAGAAAACCAGAATGGTTTCAGACCAGGATGTGAATATGTAAACCAAATATTTGCCCTTCATTTTACTTCGTTAGGTTCTCATCAGCTGCTTACAACCTAAATTATTTTAAAATCAACGTTATTTCAGATATTGACATACTTATACATATGAGGATGATTAATGATGAATATATGTATCATGTAGCGAAGATTCAGATAGAGTTAATAAGGTCATAAAAATTTTGTTTCGTATAAATAAAGTTTGGGAGGGAAAGTTCCAGAACATTGGACTAGTGATTAGAAGTAGTAGAGTTAACAAAGATTAGATGATTATGTAATGAAGTAACTGAAAATAGATCAATGGTAATAAAGAAAGATATGAATTGAAATCAGTCAGCTATGAATCGAAGAAAAATGACAATGATGTGATTTTAAACTTCAGAAAGAGTTGGGACTGACGTGACTATCGTAACCAGTGGTTGAGCACTTTAAATGACGTGGCGTAGATTCATTCACTTTTTCTTCCCTTGAAACTTGAGTTCCGAAACCTTATATTTTTAAAAATCTTTCTCGATACTTACTACTACTACAGCCTAAACAGTTCTTTGTTGCATATAACTGACTGAAAACACTAATGATATAAAGTCTTTTGCATCCATTGAGTAGTAATTTAATGATGTTTTGGATAGGTTCCTCTGCAAACGCTAGTTATTGCTTCAATATTTGTCCTTCCACAAGGAGTGAATTAATGGATCTAGTTATCCACTCCACTTACTTTTGAGGCCTCATCAACCTTGGTGTGTTAATGTCTGGTGACATCTTGAGACGAATAAAAGGCTTATTTGTTTTCCAGTTTTCTTCACACATGTTACAAGTAAAATGCCCTTGTGTTAATCCGATTCAGGGCCTACCGCGCAGCAGTTGACCTGCACTAATTTATAGGAGTGAAATTTGGATTATAGAAGTTGAGGCTATGTTATAAATTAGTGGTATTTGAGGCAAATACAATAAGTTGATTGATAAGGCTCTAAACTTTAATGAACCATGACAACCGAGCTGTGTAGTAAAGTGTGAAATTCCTGGTTTGAGTTTCCGCGGTACTTACAATCTACGTTTGAATGTTTTCCATCGTTTACTTCAAAACTGGTCTCAGTAACGTAGTTGGATCCATTCTTGAGTTTAGCACTGTTCAATACTTTTGTTGCACATCTCACCCTTCCCATTTAAGCTATATTTTATGCCTCACTTTCCAATGCAGTCGATATAATCATTTTGTCTTTTTTTTATTTTTTGTTGATTCTCTTTCTTGTTGTGCCGATACAAAATCTTGCAACAGAAACTAATACATATCTGTACGAAGTCCTACATTATTAGTAACTGACACTGTTTTACTGTTTTCCGCTTACTATTACATCTTAATTATAATTAAAAGTTTCCTATGAAAATAGTGCAAATGTCTTAGTAATTTGTTTTTTGGATCTGTATTTTACATTGTAATATACCTGTTCAGGTTGTAATATTCCAGTTGGTAGAGAATTCAAGTTCTGGCCCCTCACTACCTTTTATGAATTGTTTCTCCAAATCTCGCTTTTCATTCGTCGATTATACGGCGTCACCCATAATAGTCAATTACCATAAGCTGTGTAGAATGAGTCAATTACATCACTGAATAGAAATATTTATCGATTGCATTTGTTGTAATATAGTTCCCCAGCTATACATAATAAAGGATTTAATAACTAGTACTACACATTGAGGTAACTAATTTTCGCAATTATCCTAACAACTTGTTTGCAAATTGAAATGTTTTCACTCAAAAAAGATTCTGTCAAATCTTTTAATAATAAACCTTTGTTTGTATCTCCTACTAGCTAGAAATAATTATTTAACAACTGCTGAAATGTACAGTCTGTACATTTTTCAAATCACATTTCTCAGGTATTTAATACTGAAGTACAACAAATTGATGACTTAAAATTAACTTAGAAGTTTAAATATATTATTTAATGGTTTATAATTTTGTCGTGCAAACCAGGCATCATAGTTTAGAAGTTATAATAAGCAACGAATTGGAGTTTAGACCTACAATATGTTTCCAAATACCCTCAAAGTTTTAATATAAGCGGGGTTCGCATTCTATTTTAGATAAGAATGCAAAGCATTCGTTGGATATGACTTGGAAGGGACCAATGTGACCTTTTTTAAAAGAACATTTAAACTGACAGATGCGTTATTCAATGATTTATGAAAGATAAATTGCCGTTTTCAGCCATATTAATGTGTGTCTGCCAGTGTTCTTGGTCTTGTGACTATGGTTATATTGAGCACACAAAGCGTGCCGTTTCCTGAAGTGAGATTTATCTAATACAGCTTTATTATTTGGCAGTGCTTGAAAGAATCATGCTTCTTAACTGATGTCAGTTCAAAAAGTCATGAAATTTTCAATTGTTAGAGATATTTGTTTAAGTTGCTTCGGATAATGGAAGTCATAATTCTGTTTGGAGAATAAGACGTTGAGTATAGTCATATGAACTTTTATCGATAAATCTTTTCTTGATATTAAGCTTATTCTATTAATCAAAAGGAAATAAAGTTCATCCAAAGTCGTTGTTAGCCGAATGTGATAAATATCCAGTCTACAGTATAGAACTATAAACTATTTGTCGAAACCTCTTCACTTCATTCATCATTATTCCACTATATTCTTTAGAAAAGCGTGGTTATTTTATTTATGGTTGTGACTTAGTATAGCTATTTTATATAGTCTCATTGTAGTTAATATTTTGTTAAATAACAAAATATCTTGCAAGTCCATGATCAAAAGAAGCGATAAATTGACTATTGCGAGAACAGGCTCTACTTTCTCATTGTAGAGATTATGTGACCGTTTCATCTAATGTGATGACCGATGTCCACAAAAACTGGACAGTATATTAGGCTTAGAGGCACATTTCTCAGAATATTTGACTGGATTTTGTAAATGATGCCAAAGGATGAATTTGAAGCTGAATGTCCCTAATCTATTGCATGTTACAGAATAGATGATATGACTAACCTGTTGCTGAATCATGCTTATGGTTGTTTATGAATAGGATTAAAAAAAGGTATCGACAAAGGATTTATGTACCAGAAGAGCAGGTAAGCTGGCATATATACACATCAAATTGGTCTGTCACGGGATTCTATCTTTCACTTGGTGGTATATAAGAGGGTAACTACAATAGATTTAACTAATATTTACTGTAATAAACGTTCTAAATGCCCCATTCATGACAAGATCATCTATCCTGATATCATACTAAAATTGTGCTGATATTAAAATCCCATTAAGTTTATTCATTGTACTGTTTTTACTGTAAATCAACTTCTTTATTTCGAATGTATCAATAGTTATTATTGAAAATGTAATATATTATGCATTTATCTTATTATAATTAAGGTTTTTTGAACATTTAAAAAAAATAATGGATGGCGTATGAATATATTTGCTATTGAAAATATGATTGGTTCGACGTTTATAATAGTCATTAGGTGGTTTTTCATTCAAGTCAAGATGTCTCAAAGAGTAGGTAGTTTTTTCCTTATGTTTAATATTGGGATCATTGATATGGTACTGGTAAATTTTCAGTTCAAAATGCTGTACTTATTCTAACCAGGTTTTACTGACTGATTTGGTTTAATACCCCCAAATTAGTGTAATTCCATACAGTTTCTATTCGTGAGTTTAATAGTTTCGTTCACTTCTATTCTGTAGTATTAGTTATAATGTATGATCACTTTGAAAAAAAGGGGTCAAATAGACTAGAAATATATTTTACTGAACTACATTCAAATATGAATGATAGACATGCCTTCTCAAGATACTCTACAAATTTTTACATTTTCTTTAAACTGATCGTCTTTTTCTTTATGCTTTTGAACTTAGTATCTGGGATTAGTAGAATATCTGCTAGTATATTCCTCTTTTTCTGCCTTCTTTTGTGAAGTTAATGAAGGGTTTTCGATTAATAAGGCGGTAAGTTTTTTTTATTGACTAGCAATCAACTCTGGGGTTCTTATATTTTGCTTTTTTCTGCCTTTAAATCAAACAGTTTTCAGCTTCAATAGTTGTGTAATATCATTCAGGTGTCATATTAACCGTTTCTGTGTACCATCAAGACAATTTTAGTTTGCTTGCCTGTCTGAACTTTCATATCTTGTGTATGAATTACTTGTGTTATTGTTATCATTATGTATTCCGTACTTAGTACTATAATCATATGCCAGTTATTTCAATAAACGTAAGTAGTTTCGTTGAGCATAGGCTCACTGGTTCGAACGTTTGACATTCAGCCACTATGTTACCCCATCGGATTCTAAACTATTTCCTCTTGGAAAACCATATAATGTCACTAACTCACACGTAGAGTGTGCCTCGAAGCCAAGGACATGAAGCTGTACTATAATATTCTTTATTGATTTCAGTGATCAACCAATTCCGTTAACTGGATCATTCGTTTTTATTGTTCTTTTTATTTCAGCTCAACGGATATATCATCGTCCACCGGTAGTCATGTTGTTCATTCATTAAAACCAAATGTAGATAGTAATTTAACAAAAACTGTATTGTTAGATGAAAATTTGGAAGTTCACTTACATTCAAATGTTTTACCTGATTCGTCTCCAGATTGTACAGCGACAACGACACCATCTACCATTTTGATTAATCCTTCGAGAATCAACACTTTATCGTTAGCTACATCCAGTAAACCAGTCAACTCTGTTATGGGTAATCAACATGATACTCATGTTCCTGTTTTTAATGATTCATTTAAACCACCAATGAATGTCAATGTTGATGTAAGTAGCTTTTGAAGTATAATCTTTAAATAAATTCTAATCAATTTGTAACATTGTTATTTAAAAGATCAAGTAAAGGCTGGTAATAACCTTATTTTTATGTTTCATAAATGTTCGCGCAAAATTCTTTTATCTTGACAAAATTAGGTTTGCGCTTTGTAATGTAGCTAATAGTCAGTCATAAAAAAATCAGGACCTGGAGCTAATCTGAAATATCAGGTTTCAACACTATAACTTCATAGAGATGTTCTCACAACGCGATCTAATATCTTGGGTTCAGTCACTTATTAGGTCTTGGGATACAATATCAAGACTTTTCGTACTTACGTACGTACTTACGCCTGTTACCTCTCGTGGAGGAGCATAGGCCGTCCACCAGCACTCTCCGTCTAACCCTGTCCTGGGCAATCTTTCCCAATTCTTTCCAGTTGTGTTATTCATCCTTTTCATAATATGCTTCTATTTCCCGGCGTAATGTGTTCTTTGGCCTACCTCTTTCACACTTCCCTTCCGGATTCCAAGTTAGGATTTGCCTCATGATGTAGTTTAGTGATTTTAGCAATGTATATCCTATCCACTTCCAATGTCCTTTCCTAATTTCCTCCTCAGCTGGAAGCTGGTTTGTCCTCTCTCATAAAACGCTGTTGCTGATAGTATCCGGCCAGTGAATGTTGAGTATTTTGCGCAGACAACTGTTTATAAATACTTGTACCATCTTGACGATGGTTGTAGTAGTTCTCCACGTTTCAGCTCCGTACAATAGGACTGCCTTTACGTTCGTATTGAAGATTCTGACTTTGATATTGGTTGACAGTTGTTTTGAGTTCCATATATTCTTCAATTGTAGGAATAAGGTCGTTGCTTTGCCAATCCTCGCCTTTGCATCTGCATCAGATTCTCCTTGTTCATCAATGATGCTTTCCAGGTACGTGAACGTTTCTACATCTTCCAGAGTTTCTCCATCAAGTGTGACTGGGTCAGTCAGTCAGTCAGCTACAACGTAGGACCAGGCACATATATGCATCGGTCCAAGTTGCCATACCTCTTTAGCACATCAAGATGAACACCGGATTCATAGAAGCAATTAATTTAGTGGTGGTAGTATATAAAGAAAGATTGTATAGAAGGATATAGTATAGGAAGAAAAAAAGTTATGAAGCAATTTTAATCTCAAGGTTTAAGGGAAGATAAAGAGTGTATACACCTACGCCATTGTGATCGATTCTGAGCCATGTCACCTAGAGTCTCCAACCATTTATTACGATAGTCACGCGGACCCCAACCAGGTAGTCTGCATCTGCCAACATGGCTCAGGCTAGAAGTTAGTGACTTCAAACACTGATGCCATGTTTTGGTTTGGCCGCCCCTAACTCTCTTCCAACCGTCCCCAATACTAGTCATCATAGCGCGTCGTGGTAATCGGTGTTCAGGCATACGTAACACATGGCCCAACCATCTCAGTCGATGAAGATTCATGACCTCATCAACTGATTTACCATCGTTCCCTAATACCCTGCGTCTAACCTCACTATTACTTACTCGGTGATCCCAGCAGATGCGAGCAATATTTCTAAGGCATCTGTGGTCAAATACTAGTAACCTACGAGTATCTTCTACTCTTAATGGCCATGTTTCGCAGCCGTAAAGTAGAACAGAACGAACTGCTGCGCAGTATACTCGTCCCTTAATTGATAGACGGATATCTCGTCTTCGCCATAGGTGACGTAAGTTGGCAAAAGCCAAACGAGCTTTTTGAATCCGTGCTGAGATTTCGTCAGACACCAACCCATTAGGGCTGATCAGACTTCCAAGATAAGTGAAGTTGTCAACGCGGTCGACTACTTCACTCCCTATCCTTAGTTCGAGTGTTGACGCAGGCCAGTCCTGGAGTAACAATTTACATTTGGATGGGGAGAAACGCATCCCAAACATCCTGGCATTATTACTCAGTTCCAACAGAAGACTCTGCATTTTGTCAGCGTCTTCACCAAACAGGACTATGTCATCTGCGTATTCTAAGTCGCTTAGTGGTCCCCCTGGTAGGAGATCAATTCCTGTAAACTCAGTCGACGAGAGTGTTATTTCCAGCAACAGGTCTATAATGAAGTTAAACAAAAAGGGGGATAGTGGACAGCCTTGACGGACACCACTTGAGGTTGTAAAATCATATGACAGTTCGCCATAAGCTCTCACTCGACTGATAGTGTTCGAGTAAAGAGCCTTCACAAGGTTTATGTACTTCTCAGGTACACCTTTCAATGACAGACACTGCCACAGAACCTCTCGGTCTACAGAGTCAAATGCTGCTTTCAAGTCAAGAAAAACTATCATTGTCGGACGCCGATAAGCATGTCTGTGCTCTAAAACTTGACGAATGGTGAATATGTGGTCGATACAGCCACGACCAGGTCTGAAGCCAGCCTGATTTTCTCGTGTTTGCAGTTCACGAGTCTTAGTTAGGCGCCTGATAATTATTGAGGCTAGTATTTTAGATACTATGTTAGTCAGACTAATCCCTCTATGGTTATCGCAGGATGATTTTGACCCCTTTTTATATATTGGGACAATCAGTGATTGTGACCAGTCGGATGGGATTACATCCGTCTCCCAGATTTTAGCCAGAATATTAGTCAACCTAATCGCTAAAATTGGACCACCATATTTAAAGACCTCTGGAGCCAATCCATCAGGACCAGCTGCTCTTCCTCGTTTCAGATTACCTATAGCCTTTTGAACTTCAAGTAGGGTCGGGGGGCCTACTTCAATGTTCCATTCAGGTTTTCTAGGAATAGTGGGTAGTTGTGCAGTAGCTGAAGGCCAGCTAAACTGCTCCTTAAAGTGTTCCGCCCATCGTTCTAAACGTTTGGGTAGAGAGCAGATAAGGGTTCCATCTTTTTCCGAGATCGTCTCACTTACACTTGACTTCTTAATTCCAGTTTCTTTTATTAGTCTGAATAGTTGCTTGGTGTTGCCTACAGCCGCTGCCTTTTCCATCTCTTTTGCTTTCGTTGCCCACCACTGCTCACGATCGTTCCTTAGACTTTTAGTTAACCTAGATCTAATTTGTTTACGCTCTTCGTCATGTTCAGAGCCTGATGGTATGAGTTTACGCGAATCCATCAGTGAAATAGACTTAGAAGAAATCCACTGGTTTTTTGGAGCCCTATGGTTTAAATGACTAATAGATGTTACTGCTGTTTCCACAGCTGTTCGTATGCCTTTCCAAGCAGCATCTGGGTCAGTCTCGTTTACAGAACTGCCTAGATGTGAACTCAGTTGTCTCTGGAATTCACATTTGGCTTTCTCGTCCTCCAGTTCAATCCTAACGGGTCTTCTTAGTTTACTTTTCCTGCGTCCATTGAGGCGTAGACAAATGCGTGCTCGTATTAAAGCGTGATCAGAGTCTAAACAAGTATTCCAATACGAGCGACAATCTTCTATTGAGCCTCTCCAACGATGACTGATGACAATATGGTCTATTTGAGTCCATCGTTGGTTTGGTGCAGGTGGTCGCCATGTTAGACGATGTCTCTCCTTATGTTTAAAATTAGTGCTTGCCAAAAATAAACGATTGTCTGAGCATAGTTGCAACAGACGATCACCATTATCGGTTCGTTCTCCGTGTTGTATTTGAGAATCTTGCTTTTACCCGTGTGTATGTTGAGGTCTATTGATGCAGAGGTTGCTGCTACGTTTGTTGCTTTCGTCTGAATTTGTTTGTGTGTATGAGATGGGAGAGCTAGGTCATCTGCGAAGTCCAAATCGTCTAATTGATTCTGAGATGTCCATTATATTCCATGCATCCCCTCAGATGTCGAGGTCTTCATAATCCAGTCAATCACCAGAAGAAATAGGGAGAGTAGACAGCCTTGTCTGACTGCGGTCCTTATTGGAAATGCATCTGTCAGCTGTCCTCCATGCACCACTTTGCACTGTAGTCTGTCGTGTGAATTCCGGATAATGTTGACGATCTTCTCAGGAACTCCATAGTGTCGAAGAAGTTTCCATAATGTTCTCCTGTCTACACTGTCAAACGCCTTCTCATAGTCAATGAAGTTGATGTATAGTGATGAGTTCCACTCAGCTGACTGTTTCACGATGATCCGTAGTGTCACAAATCGGTCTGTGCAGGACCGATTCTTACGGAATCCAGCTTGTTTATTTCGAGTTTGGGCGTCTGCTACGTCTTTCATCCGGTTCAGCAACACTGTTGAAAACTTTTCCTGGTACTGATAACAAAGTGATGCCTCTGTAATTCTCACATTTTCTCAGATCTCCTTTCTTCGGTATCTTGATGAGGTGTCCTTCTTTCCAGTTTGTCTGTGGCACTTGTTCCTCTTCCCAAATCTTATTGAATAGAAAGTGAAGCATGTTTGTTGTTATTTCAATGTTTGACATCACTGCTTCAACTGGTATATTGTCAGGTCCTGCTGCTTTCCCATTGTTGATTTGTCTGATGGCCATCTTGACTTCTTCGATCGTTGGTGGAGTGACATCCATTGGAAGGTCAGTGTGGGCTGCTTCGATGTTCGGTGGATTCAACGGGGCTGGTCTATTCAGCAGTTCCTCGAAGTATCCTGCCCATCTTTTCCTTTGTTCTTGAATCTCAGTGATTGTCTTTTCTTCTTTGTCCTTGACTGGTGTCTCCGGTTTATTACATCTTCCTGCTAGTTTCTTCGTTGTATCACATAACTGTTTCATATTCCCTTCTCTTGTAGATCTATCATGTATTTATGCTTGTCGGCCTTAATGCTCTTCTTCATTTGCTTATTTGCTTCTCCATACTGAGCTTGTGCCTTGACTTTCTCTGCTCGTGTTCGACTGTTGCTAATTGCTATTTTCTTGTTCTTCCTTTCTTCAATCTTGTCCAGAGTTCCCATAGAGATCCATTCTTTATGATGATGCTTCTTAGGACCCAGAACCTCCTGACACGTTGAAGTTAATGCTTCTTTGATCCCTTTCCATTTGTCCTCCATCGTAGTTTCTTGTTCTTTCAGTTGATCCTATAAAGCTTGGGAACTGTTGTTGAGAGTTATCTTGAATTGGTTGAGTTTGTGAGTACCTCGAAGGAAGGCTGTATTGAACCTTTGTAATGCTGTTCCTCAGTTAGTTTTCCAGTGTTTCTTTAGCTTCAGTTGCATTTTGGCCCCAATTAGGTGGTGATCTGAAGCTATGTCAGCTTCTCTCTTGGTTCTCACATCTTCTATTGTCCTTCGTAATTTTTTGTTGGCACAAACATGATCTATCTGGTTCTCTGTGGCGTGGTCCGGTAAGCTCCATAAAGCTTTGTGTATGCTCTTGTGTGGGAATATTGTGCCGCCTACAACCAATTTGTTAAATGCACATAGATTTGCAAATCTCTCTCCATTTTCATTTCTCTCTCCTAATCCATGTCGTCCAATTATATCTTCATATCCTGTGTTGTCCACTCCGACTTTAGCATTTAGATCTCCCATCAGTATGGTGAGGTCCTTTCTTGATCACTTAGCTATGATTGATTGCAGCCTTGAGTAGAACTGATCTTTATCGTCGTCGCTGCTATCATTGGTAAGTGCCCACTTCTTTGTTTTGAATGATACTTTGATGATTCTGGATCTGTGAGATTCCCATCCTACTAACTCATTTTATGCTTCTTTGGACAGCACTAGAGCAACTCCCTGAGTGTGTGGAGTATTTTCCTCTTCTTGACCGGAGTACAGCAGCATCTCTCCTGTACCTAGCCTTTGTTGTCCAGTTTGTGTCCAATGGGTTTCGCTGATTCCGAGTACTGCCAAGTTGTATCTCCTCATTTCCATTGCTATTTGGCTGGTCTTTCCTGTCTCCCACATTTTCCAGACGTTCCATGTATCTATAAAAAAATTGTTGCTCTGGTTGTTTAAAGGGGCATTGGCCTCGTCATTTCTGAAGAATATCGGCTTTCACTATAAGGCGTCATAATTCTTCTTTGATTTCGAAGGGCATAGTTAATATGGTTTAATTTGTTTAATCTGGTTGGCGTTTTTTTTAGCAAGAACTTTTTAAAGCGGATGGTGTTGCCGACCCCATGCCCAACCCTCCTCCTTTACCCTGGCTTGGGACCGGCAGTAACTTAAGAAGAGTTACAAGCGGAGTTAAGACTTTTCGTACTGAAATAAATTTATTATTTCAAAATATCTGATATTTAGTGTTTCAGTATTTGATACCAGTTAGTAATGATAACTGTTGTCAAAGTAAACAGGTCTACACAGACACCAAATTGATCACAATCTTTGTATTTCTTAATAAAGTTGATTAAATGGTTATTTGTAGACTTTACTGTTAACGTACCTGCCCTGCTTACTTTTGTTTTGAAAAGCTTAAAAAAATAAATGTGTTGTTCCTTGACGAGTTGACCAATTTTTATTTTTATTGTCAGTTGAACAAGGAACCTTTGTTATCAATATATAAACACAATATTAAAAATGAAAACTTATTGACATTTCTTGTTATCACTTGTAACTTGTAGACAATCGTAGAATTCTGCTTCACCTACTTTGGGTAGTCGGATGATGTTATTGTCTTTGATTATTTATCATTCCATCTTCACCAAAAAGATGTTTCAAATGCATATAACCTAATTCTAGTAATTTGTATTCTTATTTATTTATTTATACAGAAAACAAGGAACGTTTCCGATCATATGCCTCCGTGTTTATCATCATCAAAAATGAAAATCGATTCATCACCGCCAACATCTACACTTGCAACTGATAGCAACGATCAAATTCCTAATAAAGTTACTGAACCAATCCGTTTACCCATTTCTATACCAAATACTAGAAATTCCACATCTATTTCTCTTGCTCCTGTTCCTCATTCTTCTTCCCTGATAACACCTGCTTTATCGGAAAATCCCCAAATTAGACAACGTCATATTACTACGACTACTACTTCTACTACCACTATCACCGATAATAACAATAATATACCAGGTGCTACTGGTTCAAAGGTGTCTAGATCAAAATCACATCGTTTATCAGTAGTTAAAAAGTAAGCCTATGAATTTATAATTTAATTCTCAAATAAATCATATGCATAAATTACATATCTATTATAATTATGACCTATACTTTCCGTTGTGTAAATTGGTTATGAGCAAATATGATCACAGTTAATGTGTAAATTTTTCTGTTGAAATGATTTACATTCAACTGTTCCCTTATGCTTTTTCAATCCACAAATAATAAAAATCAAATCTTAAGTACTTTAATTTCAATTTCGGCTCTAAACTTTTGTTTTGTTTTCTAAGAAAGGAGCCTTTTTTAAACTAGTTTATAGATTCTTTTTTAGTGATGTGTGATATTTAGTCATTCTACTCATATTCTGTTGACAGATTGATTACCAACTAGGTGAGTGATGTATACAATATAAAACTTGACATACTTAGTGAATTAAGACAAAATAACAAAAAAATAAATATCTTGTCACCTGTCTATAACTACATAAATTGAGTTAATGCAGTTAGTAAACTCATTGCAAAATGCTTTTTCAACCGAACTTGTACTTCAAGCCAATAACTTTTGACCCAGCCATGAATATCAAGAAAGCCGAAGGTTTATTTCCGTTACAACCGATAATAAAGGTAGAAAAGCGTAGGTATTTAAAAAAAAATTCCTATGTTCCTTCGAGAATAAGCCAGTTAGCATACGAGTTTCATAAGGCTTTATTCAATAGTGCGTAAAAGGTTTGAAGTTCAAAAAGGCAATTATTATTAAATTCATTCTTTGACTGATTCTGGTTGAATTTTTGGGAAGTAATCCTGATATGTGACTAGTAAAAATAAATGTGATTAGCCACTGAGTATGAACTGAGAGATGCATCTTACTGACCATTTGTGGTTTCTTTCTTATTATACTCTAAACTCACTGAGTACAGACTGTTTCTAAATGGGTCGAATAAAGAATTATCTAGTCTCTGGTTCTTTACTTTTGTCCGTTAATCGTGTATCTGGTATAAAGTTATCCAGCTTGAGCAAAGCGTATCAATCAAGTGTCTAGTATCTATCGTGGCAGAAAAGGGAATATTTTAGTTCTAACTTTATTCTTCCCGACAATATCTTAAAACAAAAGAGAAAAAACCAACGATGTTTGGTAAAAGTGTTATAACGTATGCTCTCTTAATATATATGAACGTGCAATTAGAGGAGTGAATTTATTGATCGGACGAAAATGATACTTGAAATCGTACGAGCAGTCTTGAGTGCGTATCGGCCCTGCTTTCTGCCTAGCCCAGCCAGTTAAGTCCAGAACACAAATAACAGCCTCGCCAATATGAATCATTATTCACAAGCAAACTGGGTTTATCCTGCTTCGGTTTGGGCACCCGGGCAGTATCACAGCCCATACACAAATAAGTGAAATGATGAATTCTATTGACGATACTATTCTCGCTCATATTAGAAGCAAGACAATTTACACTATTATTATTATTACCATTATTATTATTATTATTATTATTATTATTATTATTATTATTATTATTACTATTATTTACTACATCGCTTTTTCACTCCCTTTATTCCCAAATTGTGTATCCTTCCTTTCCAACTTATGCAGTAGCTCGCCCATGGTGGAAACTCTGTCCTATCTAAACGATCTCCAGTCACTGTCTGGTTGAAAGTGAATGTTTCCACCGATTACGAATACTGAAGCAGTCTTTCTGAAACCACGTACGCCGTTCAAGCTGGCTTCCTTCAACGTTCGCACACTAATGCAGATCGGACAACAGATGGGGCTGGCTATGTCTTTAGAAAGTATTAATGTTGATGTTTGCTGTCTATCCGAGACCCGTATTCAAGACTCTAGTGAAGTACTACAAATTCGTTCTCCATCTGTCGCTTCGAAAAGCTTGTTTCACGTGCGCTTATCCGGGGACCCTGTGGCATCTTCGTCTGGTCTTGCTGGCGTTGGTGTCGCACTAAGCGCTAGGGCTGAGGCAGCACTAATCGATTGGATTCCCATTAACAGTCGGCTGTTAGATTAGAAAGTTCCATCAAAGTGAGAAGAAATCGGCGTGAGAAACGGTGTCTTTTCGTCATCTCCGCCTATGCCCCGACAGATTGCAGCCCGGATGCAATCAAGGATGAGTTTTACCACCAGTTAACAGTTCTTCTCCAGAAAGCGCGTTCGACAGATATTGTAGTATTAGCTGGAGACTTGAATGCTCAGGTCGGGCGTCTAGGCACAGAAGAGAGTCGTTTAGGTGGCCGATGGGGACTTGTTGGTCGCAGGACAGATAACGGGGACCGTTTGTTGCAACTGTGCACAGACCACAACCTGTTTCTGGCCAGCACTAACTTCCGGCACAGTCATCGCCGGTGTGCCACCTGGCGTCCTCCCTCTGCATCCCAAGCCTGGACTCAGATTGATCACATCGCGATCAGCTACCGCTGGCGTGGTTGTGTACAAGACTGCCGCTCCTTTTGGAGTACCTATCTGGAGTCTGATCATGCCCTGGTCTGCGCCAATCTCACCTTACTTTTCAGTGGCCGAAGGATTGACCACCACCAACGGATTGATATTAGTAAACTGGCTGCAACTTCTGTTGCAAGTAAGTATCGAGCGGAGCTAGCTTCTAGGCTAGCTACCATCCCACCGAAAAGTATAGATGAGCATTGGTTGCTTCTTCACGACGCCATGAAAATGGCGAGTAAAGTCGCTTGCGGCTTCGCGAAACGTCCCGCTTACAAGCACTGGGTCTCTTCTGGCTCCTTACAACTGATGGAAGCCCGTCGGTCTACTCCGGGTGACCGTGATTTTGACCACAAACGAAGACTGTTACGTAATGAAATCGGGCGAAGCTTGCGTAAGGACCGGGAAGCCTGGTGGTCGGAGCGTGCTAATGAGATGGAAGCAGCAGCTGCATCTGGTAACTGCCGGAAGCTCTTCCAACTCATCCGAGCCACTGGCAGCAAGAAGTCTGGTGTGAGTGAAACAATCTACGAGGATGACGGGATGCCAATCACTAACATCTGTCGACGTCTTGGACGATGGGCGGAATTTTTCGAAGGGCAGTTCAACTGGCCTGCTGCTCCGGCAACATCAACCAGCTTGTCCTGCCCCCCATGGCCGGTGACGACTGATCCACCAAACGTGGCATGAAAGAAAGCTGCAAAGGTCTAGCTTCTGTTGGTCCTTCACGACTTCCTGGTTGGGGTCCGAGAGATGGTGCAACACAGTGGCTAGAGACGTTATCAGATATGGCTCAGAATAGAAGCCAGTGGCGATCCTGCTGCAACCTTCTTTTACTTTCTACATAAAGAGTGGTTCTAACTTTCTTAACTGAAAGAGTCTTCTGGTTGTACATTTCAGTCCGCATTATCTTTTCATCCCTTCCCTCCCTACTTTCATTATTTTGTGTGGCGCATATGTATCTGGTTCCCTTTTGTACCAATATATATGTGTTTAAATAAACAAATAAATAAATAAATAATAAACTGGGTTTATATACTAAGCAAATAGAAAAATAACATTTGTACAATAATTGGCCAGTGTGGCTGTGGATAGGGGAAAGTAATCAATAATAATAGTTCAAAAGTCAAAATAAAGGTTATTATAAGAGGAACACGAATATGATTAGGTCAGTTATTTAACAACTATACAATAGGAAATAGGCATTTTACATTTGTCCATAAATAGACCTCAGATTTACCATTCATAATTCACCAGGGGATATAACAAAAAGTTTTTTCTGATTAAGTATATTTGAGATTTTAAGGCGAATAGACTGTTTAGGTGATTTTACGTCATAAAATTCCTGTGTTTAAATTCACTTAGATTTATGCCATTGATGACATTTGCTCATCGCATCTCACACCTTTGACTTGTTAAATCTGATGGGTCCCACTTTATCTTCATGGAACTAAGTGTCGCAAATTGCCAAATATCTACTAAGATTTTAGTGATCACCATTATGTCAAATCTCCAGATAACTGGAATTAAAAGTTCGAACTTTACTATCACCATTGAATTCTTCTGACCAGGCTAGTTGTTATAACTTGTGGTCCTGTGCCCTATTAATGTATGACGTGATGATGCCGCCAATTAAAGAACAGTGAATTATCGACTGGACCAATGGCGCATAAAACCCATACGAGCAGTCTGGAGTCTTTATCGGTCCTGCCTCCTGCTTAGCGCTGCCTATTGAGTCCAGAACACTGATAACAGCCTATGCGATACGAATTATGTATTTCAAACATACTGGGTTTATATACAAAACAAACAGACCACATCGTACCATAAAGTAGAAAATAACATTTGTACAAGACCTAGCCAAAAGTGGCTGTGAACGTAGGAGACAGTAATTGACAGACTGGGCACAACTCAAAAGTGGTAAGTCGTGTAATTATGGTTCATAAGTCAAAATAAGGCTGGTGATAAGGGAAACATGAATATGCATAGTTTAGCTACTTAACAATTATACAATAAAAATATCTGTATTGTATTAGTCCAGAATTAGATTCCAACAATTACCATTCATTATTCTCATTGGGATATAACACTAGTCGTAAAGGTATTTCACACGTAACATGAATTACATAGTGTTTATATCTTTTGCAACATTCGAAAATGAAGGACAACATGAATAAAGTGAAACAGTCGACTTTATAAATTCGCTCATCCCCATTGTAACCACTACATACCCACTATTTAGAAAGTTACATTTAAGTTATTATCGTCAATATATAGAGTAGTAGTTTTGAGAATTTTAAGTTGTCACTTTTTGAAATGTTGGTTCTTCTTTAACCTTATGTTTCCTTAATACTTTCCATCATTCAAGGGCAATTTATATCACTAACTGACACCAGGTAGGAAACCACTGAAAACAGTAAAACATCGACCGTCTGTTTTGCCATAGATTTGGATAACCACAACAGTTCACACCTACGATTTTGTATTCAATCAAACTTGAAACCTTCCATTCTCATCAAATACATAATATTTTTCCTCAGTTGTCTCTAATTTCAAATATTCGGCTATTAAACTTCAGTTCATCTGTCATATAATAAGTAATATGTGTAAATAATATCACTAGATTAGTTTCTGTCTTATTTTCAATGTAGTTGATTGTACATACCATGACTTAAGACGATGTCAGTTCGTGATTGCACACAATCTTTACCAAACCATCTTATTAAACTATGACTATAGTTTCTACTAACTTCTATATGTATATTCCTACTTATAACTAGTACACTTTTTCTGTTTAGTACTATTTAGATTGATATAACTGAAATGGATATAATTTAAAAAGTTTCATGAAAAGTTCTACAACTTAATTTATTCAAATCTACTTAACCGTGAATAATTTTTGTTCTTGTTTGTACTGATTGTTTTATTATGGTAAGGAAAAACTTTACGCCCTTGTCACATCGACTATAGTAAAAGATTGTCTTTATATTTTAAGTTTTAATTCGAATAATTGTATACATGAATATACTTACTGTTTAGACGTTTATACGAAAGTTTGTTGTAATTAGTATTTAAAATTACTGTAATTTAAATGAAATTTCAATTTAAGGCAAAGTACAATTATGTTAGGTGTACTTTAGTAAATAATAAGGTTTCAGGAAAAAAAGAATTAGTTGATTTTATTAAAAAAAGGAACCGATCATCTGATTTTAAAAAAAAACATATTTACCATAAGCCTAGTCTTAGAATCGCTACAATTTATTCCCTATTAACAACTTTCGTCACATTATTATTATTATCGTTATTATTACTATTATCATTACTATTATCGTCACACCTGTGTTTCTCCTAATTCCTTCTTGCTATTCTCATTTTTCTTTTACTATTGACATATTTCATTGTCAATAAAAATTGTATTGCTTTAAGTTACCATAGTATTAGTTATAATCAGCTGTTTCTTTTTCCGTTTTCTTTCAACTGAAAGCTTTCAACCTTATGTCAAATATTTAAAAAAATATTTCAAAGGAAATCATTGTATAATAATAATAATAAAAGTTATGCTTTTCTTTGTCTGGTCTTATTAGTCTACGTAATCAACTTATTAACTAAGTTTAACCACTCAATATTTGTTTGTGAATGACCTTTAGTAAACGTGTAATTAGCTTATATTTTTATGACATATCAGTTGGTGAGGCTTTAAATCTTTATGGGATGAGGTGATGGCTGGTACATATATTGTATGTTCACAATCACCGCCTACCTCGATGTGTGGTACCGGCGTAGGCATAGGTTGAAAGCTGGGGACGAGAAAGTAAGATTAGTCCAGGAAGTTGTTGAATATTAGTGTGAGCCATTATCATAGCTGTACACCACGCGGTTGGGGTCCACGCTACTATTGTGGTACTTCATCAGGGACGCTAGATGATATGGCTAAGAATCGATCGCAATAGCGTATATATACATTCACTCTCTGTTTACACCTAAATTTAAGGTTTCAGAAGCACTTCATACTTTTTATTCTCCGAGTTTTTTTTTCTTGAATCACATTCTGCATACCTAATCCTTTTTACTACCACTACTTTGGTATTCATCCTGATAATTTCATCTTTCTCTCCTGATACTGTAGTGAACAGAACACTAGTTGGGGACAATCGAATGTATTTAAGCAAAAGTTACAGACTATCTCAGTAAATTCCGATAACCAAACAATGAACAGTCAATTTGCAAATTAACAACCAATTGTTTCAATCTTCACTGTTTCTTCTCTAATTCCATTGCTCATGCATTTTCCAGACGTTTGCGTTTCATTTCAGTTCTTTCTTCATCGGTCTTCTGCGAAAATACATTTTATGTCTGACCCACACCATATACTACTTATATGGATATAAGTAGACCACACCATACTCGTCCCCCCTTTAAAGCATTCGTTCATGCGGTGGTTCTGCTCGACATGCCACTATCTTCTCTCACTGCAGTCTGTGCCAAACACTCCGTCAGAATGTCGAGTCTGCGGCGCGCTGACCTCCATAGCTCCGTCGACTTGCTGGGGCACCAACATCCGCATCCACCCGGCACCTGGGACGTTCAACATCCGTACTCCACCGGCCTGCTGAGCCATCTACATCCGATGTCCGCTCAGCAGCCGCACGTCCCACTGCTCCTCTCCGTCGACAGCACCTGCTACAGCCAACGCCGCCCCGCCAGAACACTCCACTCGACGCCACCTCTCCGCACCAGACTGCCCCAACTAGCACCTCAACTCCAGACCCGCATCGGCGTCCGCAGAACAACACCCTTCCTCCTCCCGGTTGGCAGCGACACCAAATGTAGTGAACAGAACACTAGTTGGGGACAATCGAATGTATTTAAGCAAAAGTTACAGACTATCTCAGTAAATTCCGATAACCAAACAATGAACAGTCAATTTGCAAATTAACAACCAATTGTTTCAATCTTCACTGTTTCTTCTCTAATTCCATTGATCATGCATTTTCCAGACGATTGCGCTTCATTTCAGTTCTTTGCTCATCGGTCTTCTGCCAAAATACATTCTACGTCTGAACCACACCATATTACTACTTATATGGACATAAGTAGACCACACCACAATACTACGCTCTTATGTTGCTTATAGCTGATATTCTTATGAATTATGTAAACGTTCATTTATGACTTAGACTCTGTAAAAGTTGGCTCCACCTACTTTGATCTCAGTTGTCAAATATAAAGTTTCTCTAGCCTTCATACCTGATACATAACTGGAAGTTGAGTACATTAACCTAAACTCCCTGACCAACTAGCTACTTACATACAATCTAATAATATTAAAAGAGTATCAGTGGATTATAATCGGATATTCGTAATCACTATTTGAAGAGTTAGATCACATTATTCTTTGATTGTGTTCGGTATGTTGCATCCACTACATAACGTAGTTAACTATCTCTCGTTTGTAATCTTTTGGCATAAACCTATGACTTAGCTGTTCTCATTCAATGTGAATCATTTATTGGAAACCGAAATCACTTTCTGTTAGTGCTAATAATAGATACAAATAATTATCACTGGTTGACTGAGTCTTAAGGTTGTTAGTTAGCAGTGTTGTTTTAGTTCATAAACTCACCAGTCTCTGTTCTAAACAAGTACAGTTTTCTTGATTGAATTTCTCGACGAAATCAATGTTGAATATTCATGAATTTATCTCGTCATTAGGCAGATGTACCCACCTTTTAATATCCTTACAGATCTTAAACGTACTACTATTCACTGTTTACCTGCTTCTTCAGTTTTTATGTTTCTTTTTTTCTTTAAATAAAACCATGAACTGATTTAATTTAGACCACCATTAAAACTGAAAGCACTGGACTGTCATTTAATCTTAGTAAGGGATTCCTCATCAATGTGCATCCACGACTTTGCGCGCAGGATTCGGACCCAGGGCCTTCGTTTGTGTATGCAAATGATTAGTCTCCCTACCACTGAGCTGGCATCTACCTGTGTTAAGCCGTAACCTCAATCAATCTGTGACATTGCACGACCATCTTCCGTTGCCTTATGTTGTTGATATCTCCAATTTCCTTCATTCTAATTTCCTATTTACTAAACCCAATCTTTTGCTCTCATGTGAATTGTGGCGTATTAGACTAATTTGTATTCTTGCTTTCTAATTCTGTTCATTTAACATCCTAACAACTGGAGATATTTTACTGACTAGTTTCTGGTCGATGATAATGAAGAGATGGGAAGTTAAGTTACCACTGAATAATTGCTTCTCCATTCGACATCTTACTGATTTTTTAATCAACCTCGTTGTAAAAATGTATCATTCACGCCATTGTAATTCGATACTTATTTTGCTTGTATCTATGCTACTTGTCATTCTGATTTAATTCGACATGGTTTCCGTACGTTTTCGTTTTATAACTATGACTTTTCTCATATGAATATATTCTGATCACGCAAATCTATATGTATTTATTTGAATAATTAAAATCCTGATCTCTGTTTATTTTTACTTTCTTAATAGATCTCATCCATGGATGCGTTACACATTTTGTTCACTGACAGTATTTTTGATTTATTGGCTTTTTAATGGTTTTCTATTGGGTCTAACTGTTGGTTGTATACTAACATATACATTCATTACAGTGTATAATTATTTGCATAGTCGTACAAACTATTCTAATCAAATTCTCTGTCCAATATCAGGATTGCCATTAGATCACTTGTGCTGTTCACTGCATTATCGACAAGAACAAGAGGGCCAGTACCAAGGTTCACAATGGTGGCCAATTTATTCACCAGCTATGCCAAATTTAACTTCTATTTTAACTAACAACGCGAACAGTACTAATAAATGTATGCAGTTAAGAAATTTGCCTAATTTCACTGTACCAAATATGCTTGAAGAAGATGTTAACAAGTCAACTATCTCAGGTCCATTGGGAAATAGTTTAGGTTTTAAATATGACAATAACGGACGGCCTGTATACAAAGGGTGGTTAAATGAGGTAGGTTATTGGAAGAAAATAAGGACTACCATTTTAACCAAATCATAATGAATGTCGTATTTCTTTAATTTATAGTCAGTTTAAAACTCATGAAAAACATGTATTCACCAATTATAAATTTTAAATTAGTTAAGTGTTCTGTTGATTTACTAGCACATTCAACTTTGAAGTGTCATTAATGAAACAATGCGTTTCATAGAAAGAAAGAATAAATGAATAGTCTCCTACTTCTAAAAAAATTTACCCTCAATATGTATGTGTGACTATACCTCACTAGTATGTGCTATAAAAACGCCTGATGCTATCAATTTAACATGAGCTACAAACAATAATAATAACAATAATCATTTTTACAATAAATCTGACAATTAATTTAAACTCCAAAAGAGACCATTTGTTTCAGTGTGACAGCGAATCATAGTTTTGCTTTTCAGGGAAACAATCATTAATAGATTAAGAAAACAAATTTGCCCTAATGTCATAACTAATATTCTTAATTTATGTCATTATCAGTTGATGGTAATCTTGTTAATAATGTCGTGTAACTTCACATCGTTTTTATTCATGACTACAATTGGTCAGTCTCTGTCCTCATATATTTGTGGTGGATGGATTGTTTCGATATGTAGTTATATTTAGTATGTGGTTGGCAGTGGAATTCAGGACGCGGGTTCCAGTCTTTTTGGTACTCATCAACCGGATATATTCTCATTGCAGCGTTGATCCTTACACTGACACCTGTCGCTTCGAATCTTTGACATAATGATATATCTAGATAGTTCACTCATTAAATGATACACCTCAAATTATTTTGCTATTGTCTAGTGTCCAAACTCATCTAACCATAAACTAACTCGGTAACCATTAAATACCTGTTCATATATTAGACTTTGGTGTGAAAATTAATGATTCTGGATGGAGCGTGATTAGAGCTTGCAACCTAATAACTGAAACATTAACTTTAACAACTGTATTGATTTCATGCACATAATTTCCTTTATCAGCTTAAAAAGACCAAAACAAAGCATTGAGCAGTATATCATGAATTCATTTTATTTCGTTTGATTCTCGTGAGCTGCTTAAAACTTGTAATATTTAAAAAATAAGAAGTGAGTTTGAATTATTTACAGGAAGGCGTTTTGTTGGAAGTTCCAATGATCGATACAGAAGTAGTGGCAATAGATTTTTGACTAGCGTGATAAACGGTAACCAATTAATACTTTAATAAAAATAATGCTTCTAAACATAAACTGAGCAAGTCAATATGATTTCTAATCTTTGAAAAGAATTCCGTTAGTTTATTTACATTTGTACTACATACGTCGATAGATATTTATTTACTTTTAAGTGCTGGCTCTTTGATTACTGCCACTGCCATGGAAGTCCTACTCACTGCCTTCTCGCGGAGGGGGTATTTACGAAATTGAGAGGACGAAAAGCGAATATCCGGCGCTTTTATCGGGTTTACGGATATGGAGAATCCACCTAGGGGAGTTGGAAAACCCTCATTCCAAATTAATGGTTCACATAGGCTCTACGATCCTGAAGGAACAAATGGTGTATGGATCTGTTGTTGGTCACTGGCTACCATGAGACTGCATCTCCTGACGTCGCTCCACTGCCTCGTGGATTAGACATCTAGGTCAAATGATCAAGGAGTGATGCCCAAGGAAAAACACCTGCTTCGGTTCGGGTACCCATGCTATATTTTAGCCCTCACACAAATCGAATAATGGAGTGTAGCGCTCATATATCTGGAATCTTGTACCAATATTTATGTTTTTAAACAAATAAAATAAGTACAAAGTGTTCCTCTGTTTTTCCCTTTCACACTAAATAATATGTGTATCTTTATTTTTTTCTTCTGTAGATTATTCATTATGATCCCGAAACTCATCATATTGGCAAAACATTTTCCGTCTTCCTCACTCTTGATGGTACACAATTACGCCTACAGCGCCCAGAACATAATATTACTCGTAGATCTTTATGGAATGATGAAATCCCATCAACTACAACTATACGATTCAAACAGCAGCATATTTATGATTTAACTAATGCAACCGTTACACTTCTTCCATGTGGTTTAGTCGGCAAACGTCTATGGAGTAGGAAATATCCTATTTGTATTACCGTCCCCACTGAAAGTAGATTCAAGGTAAATGCTAAAATGAGAGTTATATTTATCAATAATTGACCTTTTGTTGTCAATGGTTTTTTGTATATTTAATATTGAATACATCAAAAATTTGTTTGTATTAAACTATGAAGTTACTGCTCATACGTTGCTTTATGGTCAGTCAGTCATGTGCAGCGTAAAACCTGTCACATAGGGAGATAAAATTATTTCAAGACAAATACCTGAGTAGTAGGAGTAGTAATAGAATAAATTAGGAATAGAAAAAAGGCATAAGGAGGTTTCAGGACTCAGGTTCTCAGGGAAGATAAAGAGTGAATGCAACTTCACTATGCCATTTCAAAGTCTCCAAACCTTGATTATGATAATCATGTCGACTCCAAACAGGTAGTCTACACCTATTCATATGGCTAAGTTCAATTGTCAATGACTGTATGGACTAGTGTCATGTCTTGGTTTGACCGACCCTAGTTTTCTTCCAACCTACTCCTAGATCAGATAACCTCACTCTCCGAGGTAGCATGTCGTTTGGCATTGTAACTCATGTCACAACCACCTCAGTTGATGAAGATCTACTGTATCATCAATCAACTCGCCATCTTTATTTAGTACCCGATACCCAATCTCAGGATTCCTCACTCATTGGTCCAAAAATGCGCGAGTAATGGTTTGAAATTACTGATATTCTAATACTATAGTAACCCACCAACATTCTTTATTCTCAATGGTCATATTTCACATCTGTAAATTAAAACAGACCGAACTGTTTTGTGTAAACTCATCCTTTGGTCGGTAGATAAAATCTGGCCAAGGCTTTACAGAATATATTTTTTTACGAACTTACTGTGTACTATATTGTAAATATTCCTTTGATGTTATATCCCGACGAGATTTATTTTATTTATTTATTTATTTAAACACATATATATTGGTACAAAAGGGAACCAGGTACATATGCGCCACACAAAATAATGAAAGTAGGGAGAGAAGGGATGAAAAGATAATGCGGACTGAAATGTACAACCAGAAGATTCTTTCAGTTAGGAAAGTTAGAACCATTCTTTATGTAGAAAGTAAAAGAAGGTTGCAGCAGGATCGCCACTGGCTTCTATTCTGAGCCATATCTGATAACGTCTCTAGCCACTGTGTTGCACCATCTCTCGGACCCCAACCAGGGAGTCGTGAAGGACCAACGGAAGCTAGCCCTTTGCAGCTTTCTTTCATGCCACGACACCATGTCATACACTGACCTCCTCTCCGCTTTTTCCAACCAGTCTTAGGGTCGGCAAATAATGCACGACGTGGAAGTCTCTGGGACGACATTCGTAAAACATGTCCAAGCCACCGAAGTCGGTGTTTCAAGATGGTGACACCAATTGAATTATCGTCTCTGCGCCCGAACACACGATGCCGAACCTCTGCATTACTAACATGGTGTTGCCACTGGATGTCAGCAATCCTTCGGAGACAACGATGATCGAACACAGAGAGACGTCTAACATCCTCAACTCGGAGAGGCCAGGTTTCACAAGCATAGAGCAAAACTGCTCTCACCGACGCGTTGTAGATCCGACCTTTTACAGCCAGACTAACATCACGAAGGCGCCAAAGATGGCCCAGATTGGCATAAACCGCTCTGGCTTTCACTATACGTGCATCAATCTCATCACTCACGCCACCACCAGCACTTATATAGCCACCTAGATACACGAACTTCTCAACTACTTCGATCTCCTCACCATCCAGGGTGAGTACAGGATTAGAATCCTGCCAGTCTTGTAGGAGTACTTTGCACTTGGAGGGTGCAAAGCACATGCGGTACCTGCGGACACTGATTGCCAACTGATTAAGTGCTGATTGCATGCCTTGGGCATTATCGCACAGTAAGACAATATCATCCGCATACTCAAGGTCGAGAAGTCGTTCTCCAGGCAGCAGATCCACACCGCCATTACTTACATCCATCAGAGCTGTTTCCAGGATGTCGTCGATGGCAAAGTTGAAGAGGAATGGTGAGATCGGGCAACCCTGCCTAACCCCACTGCTCGAATGGAACAAGGGAGAAAGGTGGTTGTATGCCCTCACTCTGCCTGAGGTGTTCGTATACAGGGCCTTTAAGATGTTAATGAACTTCTCAGGCACACCCTTCTTCAATAGACAATCCCAGAGAACAGTCCTGTCCAACGAATCGAAGGCCGCCCTGATATCAAGAAACACTACGATAGTTGGCCTGCGATAAGTATGACGGTGTTCTAACATTTGGCGGAGGGTGAAGATGTGATCAATGCATCCTCGACCAGAACGAAAACCAGCCTGCTCCTCGCGAGTCAATCGTTCTCGCGTTTTAAACAACCTACGAAGAATGATAGAAGCCAATAGTTTGGACGCAATCGGAAGTAGACTTATCCCCCGATAGTTATTGCAGGAACAACGTGAACCCTTTTTAAAGATAGGGACGACTATTGACTCATTCCATGATGTTGGAACACTTTCTTGCTCCCAAACCTTTCCAAACAACGCAGTCAATTCCTTAGTCAGAAAGTCACCACCATCTTTAAAAAGAGCCGGAGGTAAGTCATCTGGGCCCGGTGATTTGTAACGTTTCAAGAGTTGAAGTTCCTTGCGGACTTCCGCCTCGTTTGGTGGATCAGTCGTCACCGGCCATGGGGGGCAGGACAAGCTGGTTGATGTTGCCGGAGCAGCAGGCCAGTTGAACTGCCCTTCAAAAAATTCCGCCCATCGTCCAAGACGTCGACAGATGTTAGTGATTGGCATCCCATCATCCTCGTAGATTGTTTCACTTACACCAGACTTCTTGCTGCCAGTGGCTCGGATGAGTTGGAAGAGCTTCCGGCAGTTACCAGATGCAGCTGCTGCTTCCATCTCATTAGCACGCTCCGACCACCAGGCTTCCCGGTCCTTACGCAAGCTTCGCCCGATTTCATTACGTAACAGTCTTCGTTTGTGGTCAAAATCACGGTCACCCGGAGTAGACCGACGGGCTTCCATCAGTTGTAAGGAGCCAGAAGAGATCCAGTGCTTGTAAGCGGGACGTTTCGCGAAGCCGCAAGCGACTTTACTCGCCATTTTCATGGCGTCGTGAAGAAGCAACCAATGCTCATCTATACTTTTCGGTGGGATGGTAGCTAGCCTAGAAGCTAGCTCCGCTCGATACTTACTTGCAACAGAAGTTGCAGCCAGTTTACTAATATCAATCCGTTGGTGGTGGTCAATCCTTCGGCCACTGAAAAGTAAGGTGAGATTGGCGCAGACCAGGGCATGATCAGACTCCAGATAGGTACTCCAAAAGGAGCGGCAGTCTTGTACACAACCACGCCAGCGGTAGCTGATCGCGATGTGATCAATCTGAGTCCAGGCTTGGGATGCAGAGGGAGGACGCCAGGTGGCACACCGGCGATGACTGTGCCGGAAGTTAGTGCTGGCCAGAAACAGGTTGTGGTCTGTGCACAGTTGCAGCAAACGGTCCCCGTTATCTGTCCTGCGACCAACAAGTCCCCATCGGCCACCTAAACGACTCTCTTCTGTGCCTAGACGCCCGACCTGAGCATTCAAGTCTCCAGCTAGTACTACAATATCTGTCGAACGCGCTTTCCCGACGAGAACTATGAATGGTAACTTTTGAGAACTATTTGTGAACTAATATGATACGCATATTTTCTATTGTATAATTGTTAAGTAACTTAATTATTTATATTCATGTTTCTTTTATTATGAGCTTTATTTCGACCCATAGACTATTACTATACAACTTACCATTCTGGGTTATATCCAGTCTATTAATTACTGTCTCCCACATTGTGGCTTGATCTTGCACAAATGTTATTTCATATTTTATGGTGCTATGTGGTCTGATTGATTGGTATATAAACTCAGTATGTTTGAAATATAACGATTCATATTGCAGAGGCTGTTATTGATGTTTTGGACTTAACTGGCTGGGCTAGGCAGAAAGCAGGACTAACAAGTATTCTAGACCGTTCGTACGGGTTTTGAGTACAAGATAATAACAATTACCGGCACAAGTTATAACATCTGACCATATCATTTTTATTTCAAATTACTTCGCTTTTGTTTTTTATTTAGCAATTAATCTTAAGTGTATATAACTTTATTATCAGTACCTGTTCGCCTTGCTTGGATATTAAAGACTTCTTCACTTTATTTCTCAATTACTCGACTAAAGAACGTTTGAAATTCATCTTAACCATGTTTTATTTTGAAATGTAGCCTTAGATCTTTCTCCAAGTAGATCGTATGATTGTTTGCTATCGAAATATACATATCGTCGTTCCTCGTATATAATTATCGACTTAATCCGCGTTAGTGAATAACGGAAATAGATAAGCCAAATACGAGAATGCGTATCATTTTTCACTGATTGATTTGAACAGGCAATCAGAGGAATGAAGCGAAGAGATGACGTGCGATTGAGATGGCATGTGAACCAACCCCATTTATTCAAGCGTTAATCAATATTTATAGTCACACAATAATAAGTTACAGACATGTGATAAATTAGATAAAGAGTCCACACACATACGCTCATAGAAAAACGGTCAAGATTGGTAAGTGAATAAATAACAAGGTCAAAATGTGATTCAGGTAGAATGAATAAATTCAGTCAGTCACAACGTAGAATTTCGTACTTACGTACATCAGTTTTCAGTCACCATACCAAATTAGCACAGAGATGCAGTTGTCGATTCAAATCCTATAGTGATAGAAGTAGTAAGAGTATAAGCATTATGTGAAAGATTAGGGTTTGAAGATATTATTCAAGAAGTATAATCTAGTGAAGTAAATTTGGAAAGAGAAAAAAGATAGGGACATGGAGAATTCAGAAGATTAGAATTTGGGAGAACACAAATAGTGGATGCACCTTCGCGATTGCAAGCGAATAAATTGGCTTGTCCAGAAGCTAGAATAAGTCATGTGGGCTTAACTTGGTAACCGACACTACAATGTATTCCGTAACAGATGATAGAAATTCGATGACTTTAGAGAGGTTTTGGTAACTACATCTCTAGACTCAAAAGTTAGGGTCTTATTTATGTAATTTTTCATAGCTTTATTTATCTTGTCAACAACTGTATTGTGATTGCAGAAAGGATACTTATAGACTGAGGTTTCAGAAATGAAACAGATATTTCCTAAGCCTTAGGGAATCTTCACCACATAGTGTAAAACCCGAAAATATTGCATCAGAAAATAACTCATAAATGCATCAGGGTAGTTTAATTTCTTCCGATTTTCAATCTACTAGTTTATTTGTCTATAAATTATGGTTTGCAGATTATTTTTGGTTGGCCTTGATTTGATAGTTTCAGGGAATAACTCTTGACCATTCTGACTAAGAATAGCCATGCGCAAATAATCCTATAAGCCACATTCTTTCACTCTCCTTCACCATTAAAATGATGTTGTTTTCTAACTTGACATTCAAATATTCCCTTATAAAGTACGTACCTTATAATGGAAACAATATGAATTTGTAAACTGTAAATCACAAAGTTTCACCCGTGTTTACGTCTTGATTTGTTTGTTTCAATGAACAATACATTCCGCTTTTTCTACAGCGTAAAAATGAAAGACTTGATTCACTACCATCATCGACAAGCTTTCCAAATATCATATTATCTACCAGCTCTAATATACCAGTGAATGAAACGTCTGACTTGTCAGTGGATACATCTATTCCATCAGCTGGAGATATGGAGTTCTCCGATGATACTACTATCAATGTGTTGCAAGCTTCAAGCAAATCAAACGCGAAAAATTTATATTTATTCGGAAGAACATGTCGCGAAAAAGAAACATGGTACCGTCGACTGAAAGCTGCCTCATTGGGCACACCTCTTATATGGACACCTCAGATGGTAAGAAAATATTTTTTTAGGTATAGTGTAAGTTGGTAATTTTTTTTATAAATCTCATTGATCAAGTGATACGATAGTACCTTGAAAAAATTGTTTAAATTCCGAGACCACATTTTATGAACTACATTTTGTGATGTTTTAAGGATTTTGCCAAACAGTGAGATTATGGATGTGACGTAAATGTGACTAAGTAATGAAATTAGATCACATCACAAATTGAGATAAGCTGAAACAAATTATTCATCTAATGTTCAGTTCTCATGTCTGAATTGCATTGATTTCTACTGAAACTGCTCGCTGTGTTCTACCGTAAAATACTTGTTATTTTGTATGTGTGACACATACCTGGCATAAGTATAAGTTGTTAAAAATCTAACGACAAAAAATTGTAATTTCGGTTTAGTAAGTTGGAATCGCATGTCGTTTTGCTTTCAGAAATTCCTAGATAATTAACATTAACATTAATTAATTAATTAATTAAATTATCTCAAATATTCCAGAACTATCAAAAGCCCCATTAAAACTTTGATGCTTAAATTCTTTCACATTGTGAACAGATTATTTGTTAATGACTGACAATTCATTTTCCAACAATGAAAATTTAAAGTTAGACATTGATATCGCTGGATTACCAACTCAGTGATCTAGAGGTCAAGCGTCCGTGCACGAGACCGTAGGTCCTGGGTGCACACTACTGAGGAGTATCATACTAGGATGAAGAGGTCGTCCAGTGATTCCAGGTTTTTAATTGTGGTCTAACATTGTTTGGTTCACAATTGAAATAAACTAACAATTTTGTTTACATTTATCAAATTGAACTATCAGCTGAATCATTACCCACTAGTAATTATTTTCTTAACAATTTTGTTTTATTCCTCCAACAAATCTCCATCTTGGCCACCTCTTTAGATTTACAGCTGAAGAACCTGATGATAACTTATTGAAAAGAATATTCTTATATATATATATATATATATATCCGAGTTCTTTGTGTAATATGATTTGAATTTTTTAAAAAGGTGGACCCAATTGGTACTAAGCACTCTTGCTTTCATTGTATATAGATTGGTCTCATTAGTCACTGCATTATTAGTGCTCACATAATTACTTTCAGTCTTCATTCCTCACATCTAATTCGTTGATAACACCATGTGATGGCAAAGCTTTATGTACTGTCAAATAAATTATTTTCACGTTTTGTTGGACCCCAATTTTTAATAATAATCTATTGAGGTATCTTTCGATTACGAAATGCATGATAATGCTGGTTTAACGAATAAATATTCTAAAGATCAAACGTAAATTTACTTTTACGACTATTATGGCTAGTTTTTCTGTAAATTATAGCATGCACACTATACTGGGCCATACAATACTTAATCCTGTAACACCAAGTTATGTTTTTGAGATTGTTCGAGTGAATATGTTTTTTAATAATGATTTTTGTTTTTCAGTATTGAACTTCATTACTTTTTTTTATAAACTTGATAATGAAATCAACTGTCCCGTTTCTCTTTCATTTGTTTCTTTTTTTATAGGCTGTGCAACATTATCTTTTGGCTTCAGATAATAATACTAGTAATAATAACGTTGGTTTACCGGACTACTTAATTGGTACTGCCACAGCAACTTCTAATACCAATTCCAATCACAATGACAGCACGTTGAGTGATGATGAGAGTCAACCTGATGGAAATACATCATCAAATCCGGTAACTTGTTGTGATTCAACTGCCAGTACAGCTAATACTGATGTTGCTACCACTAGTATTAATAGTAACAATAGTAATAATATTCCCACTGGTTTAAGCAGTACAACCAATACTAATAACACTCATTCATCCAGTATAAATCTTTCAAATTCTGGCGTTCCAATACCTGGGCATCGCGAACCAGTCTATGTTTCGTATGTCCGATATATGGCTAAATTTATGCCCGCCAATTGGCTTGTACGAAGTGCACAAGCATTAAAATTAAATGTTAATCAAATTAGTTGTGATACAAATATGATATGGCTTAATGCATTAACTGGTCGTTTGCTATGGGATTTTCTTCGTGAACCTTATTGGTTAGAAAAGATAAAAAATAAGATTCAAGCAAAGTTGAAAAAAATACATGTAAGCAGTGTGGATTTGTATTCTGACATGTCTTTATTATTTCAGTTTTTATTATTTTTTCTTACCTCCGACATAATTGATGCAGTTGTAAATTATCATTCCCTAGAAATCACAAATCAACGTTGATAGATTATTACTAATGCTCTGTTAAGATGGAATAATCGAAGTTCTTCCTCTGTAAGATTTAATTTAATAGTAAGAATGAACATTAATTGGTAACGTTTATCGTTAGTTGTCCTTGTGATATTATTATTAAAAGTCCTAATTTGTATTTTGTCTTTCGTAACAGAAAGTATAATCTCTAATTGGAAAGCTTTAGTACTTTAGATTCGTTTCTAAGAGCTATAGACTTTGGTGTTGTCTGTAAGAACTCATTAAGTAATACAATATGGAAAGAAACAGTTTATTCTAACCTTTTCCAATTTGTATATGCAAATATCGTCATGCTTGTTTTACTTGTTTGTAAGCATAGGATTAATTGGTTAGTGATACACTGGAACAGTAGATCTCCTTTCTCTTCCCTCAGTTGGGATATCTAATGAGACTTGAACCTTTTTATTATTATCATGTTAACAACCGACCATCGAAAACCTGAAAGCATTGGACGGCCGTTTCATCCTAGTGTGGAACAAACGTATTTCGGCGTCCTATTTTAGGACAAGACGCCCGTCCAGTGCTTTCAGATTTTCAATGGTGGTCTAACATTGATTGGTTCATGATTTCAATAAGACTTGACGATCCCCACAACCCTATACTAACGAAAATATATTCCACTTAATTATTATGCAGAATGATGTTATTGGTTAAGGAATTTATATATAGGAATTTTACATATTAACAAATAGCTAATACAATCATTCTATATTTTGTTTTACCTCTGTACAAAAATATCATAGCTTCCTAATTTCATCAACGAACTCACTGTCGTTGACATTGATTTGGGCTCAGAAATACCTGTACTAAGACGTATCGGATGTCCTTATCTGGATGCACATGGTCTGTGGATTGAAGTGGATGTTGGTTATGCTGGCGGATTCTCATTCGCTTTGGAAACAAGTGTGAGTAAATTAAAAGGAGCAAAGTAACTTTGGGAGAAATACTTTTTAAAATTACATTTTCTCAATGAATGTAAAAAAATTAAAATCTCATACTCCACATCAATTTACGTGTGCATCAGTTCGACATACGAATTATCTCATGTGGCATAAAGTCCCCTCATACTGTTTCATGTTTAATTTTTCTTCTAAGGAATTCTTAGGAACACCTTGACGTATTACTTTTAAAAAATTGACATGATGAAGGCCGATGTTAAGCTGTTTAATGTGGTTGGTCAATAGAAAGTGTCTATTCAGAGTACTTGTAAAACTTATGCTAAACTAATGGTGTATGAAAGCTTCAGAAACTAATGTTGTACAAATCCACTACCGACTACACGTGACGTTTCACTTTTTCATGGATTAGATTTCTAATTCACTGTGTCGGGTTCCAAAACAAAACCATTTGGTTGAGTTTATATGTACAGAAATTATCACACAAATGCATGTTAGTGGGTGTTTACTCCCTTATGTTTTCTGAACGCTAGGCTTGACCACTGACTGTAAGATTAGTTTGTTTGAATTAAATTTAGCCACCTCTTAGGCCATTTAACGTAATAGTTGTTTTTGTTATTAATTTTATCAGAACTTTAATTTGTGGAGCTATCCTTTACTACATGCTGTTCCAGACTGTTCGAAACCGACGTATAAAAAAGGAATATGAACTGCAATCATTATTATGCTACCTTGTTTCATTAGCGTGTGCTTCAGGTAATCTGTATTGGACAGTTATGTTGATAACTTCCGGACTCGTATTCAGTTTTGATTATTTTCTGTCCGGATTTTGGGGATTCTTATTTCCTAGAAAGTCATTAGTTTCTTAATTCGATATTCAAATATTACCCAACTAAGCATATATGGATTGACTTGTCGGCCAACTTTTTGACGTTAATTTCATTATGATTCAATGATCAGTTCGCATAAAATATTATTTAGTAATTTATCTTAACGAAGTAATTATTCCCTAGGCAGTATTCATCACTGATCAGTCTCTGTAATATTATTATGAGCCCACTAGTTACTTACTTCAAGAGCAGTCCTTGAAGTTCAAATAGAAGTCATAGCCGGTGAAGTCTAATGATTCAGTGATCGTTGCTTCGTGTAGCAAATTGTACTAAAAGAGGAGTATGTATTATTGGACGTCTACTAAATTGTTTAATGTTTACCGCTTGTTACGAGTTCTTAAATTGAATGAACACTGCTGATGATTTCTATAACAGGTTCAGTCCCATGGTTGTGTATTTGAAATTTTTTAAGGTTTATCGTGTTAGGTATCTATAAACTACCTTTAATCAATACGTATAAGTCATTCAGTATACCTCTTACTGATCTTGGAGAATTTTAAGCCATTAGATATACGTAACTTAGGATCATTTTCAAATCGAAGTTTAATAAATCACTCTCCTTTTCAAGATAATGTATTCCTTAGCTTTAGCTACATATTTATTTTGAGTTCCATAATTTACGATTAGTATGCATTAGATTTCATGTTGTCATTTCATTTGTCTAAAATCATGTACAAAATATAGGCTTTGAGACACTTTTATTGTATGTAAATAATGTTGGTCCTACATACCACTCCAAGCTAAAGTAGGTGGAACGTTGTTCTAATAAGGAATTCAGTGGTTACAGGTCGAATGTCTTAAACACAGCCATGATAACTAAAACAAATTTATTTAAACTTGTTAACTTAGGGTACATATATACATACCTAAATATATATATTTACTCAATGAGATGTGTCTTAATCATATTAGAACGTACTTTTGTTTCATTAGTTCGTGTGAGCTTTATTCATATTACATCGATTTATGAGGTTGAACTGTATCTCAGCTCCCTTTATACATTGATTGATTATGTTAATTACCAAATAGCATTGATCTCTTCATAAAAACGCACTTAACAGTAAATCAGTAATCCATTAGTAAACAGTGCTAACATGGAGTCTACATTCCCAACGTATTGATAATCGCAATATATATATATATATATATTGCATCTTGAGTTGATAACAATTTCCTGTTAATTTTCTCAACAAATGGATTGTTTCATTCTCTTTATCTGTGAACATAAATGACAGCTATATATAAAAATGAGAGTGGTAGAAACAAAAATATTTAGATTTGTATGCATGAGAATTTAATATGTTAGTAGGATATTTTCTTTTTCTCTATTCTTTCAGCTATTTCTAAGTCATTTTGTGTCTCCACCTATAAGTGTTATAAGCTTATCGATTTGTGTACACTGTGCTTATGTATAGCTATGAGTGTTTTCAACAACCAATCAATATCATTTGCAAAACCTGTTGTGTCGTATAAACTGAGTTTTTAATGTCCTAGATACGCTACTTGTACTACTACGACTACTACTACGACTATTATTATTATTATTATTATTATTATTATTATTATTATGAGAATAACATGAAGAAAAAACTCCGTACCTGAGCTCATTTTGTATTTCTTTGTCATTACCTAATCACCACTGAAATGGTCTTTCACTAATTTGGTTGTAGTAGGTGTCGTTCGATTCCAGTTATTAGCCCCTTTAAGTTGTTCGACCCTATCTCACAGAGATGAACACATACTTTCCTCAAATCTCCCTTCTACTCTTCAAAACATAAAATAAACCCATCACTTGACCAAAGGCTTAGTATAGAAGTTCAGCCACTAAATATTTGTATCAATACAGGCTAAATGTGATTACTCTTTTTTAAGGATTGAATTCGTAAATTTAAATTGCTTTACATCTATTTCGATGGATACAACTGGCTAATATCTTTAGCAATCACAGCTATAGTATATTTGAAAGGCAAGTACATTATTATGTACCTTGTAAACAAGCTACATTGACATTTACTTCTAAACCAACTAGGGTTACTAACTAATTAACTAGAGTGTTCAATATGAATAAAGCGGGGATGTGAACCTAACTTTTGACAATGAAAATTTTAAGTCACTCATCCTCAGTTCTAAATGAATCGTATTGCTTCTTAGTGTGTAATTAAATATCATCTATTTATTAAAACTGACTCAGTTCGAATTTACATTTATTTATTTTTAATGTTCTTCAGTGTTGGACGCTTTAATAATTCATTACATATTTCTTTGTTTAATATTTTTTATTTAGGTTAATTTAATGAGATGGAATCAAAAACTTCGTGAAGAAAAAGATATTAACTATTCATCAGGTTCGATCGTTTACTTATTTTTTACAGACGAGATTTGTTCTATTGTTAAAATTTAAACTTTTGCTTTTCATGGAGAACAAAATAAATTTGACAAATGAAACAGGAGCAATACAGTTAAATGCTATTTATCTGTTTACCGAAATAAAGAGTGGTCAATTATGAATAACACTTCGGTATACATTTCAATTAGTAGTTGACACATAAGTGAATATTAACAAATAATGAAAATGTTTGGTGCGAGTCAATGTGAAGCGTCGATAACAATCAACAGTTGAAATTATTATCATCCAAGATTATCAAAACACAAGTAGTTATGTATCTTTGTGATATTCTTCAATATCTTTTACATTAGTATTTTTTGTGTAAAAAAAAAAATGGAAATGCAGTTAAATCAAAACCTTCTCTTTTTCATCCACTCTCTCCCAGATAATTTTGCTCAAAATTCACTATCCAATGAATCTCTGCCAAAAGTTAATTCTCGTTCGATAACAAAAATGGCCGCTTACTTATCCGATGAAGAGGACAGTGCTGATTCAACAACTGACTCTGAATTAGATGAAATGACTAACATTAGTCAAAATTCCAGTCCTATAAATAGTTTACGAACTGGGCGTAACTTACCATCCACTGGATTAATCTTAGGTGGAATAAAATCCGGTGATAATGAACGTGGAAACCCTGAAGACAACAGGTAAAAGGTTGCTATAATTTCTCATACAATAAATATTTAAAAAAGTCTCTGCTACTTAAAATAACAAAATCTCTGCATGCTTTTTTAGCCCCTTGCAGGTGTTTCTTACTATTGAATGTTATGAGGTTTTTCAAATTTTATAGCCATCATCAGGAACTGATCCTTTTTTGGTACCAGATAACAGTTTCGTCTTAGTATAACTACCTCATCAATGTTCATCCGCGACCACACCGGGGATCGAACATAAAACCTTCACGTCTCACTGTAAAGACTATCAGTTGTGTTGGCTGATGGAATGGATTTTAAATTATATTCTTTTTATACTGCGGTAAGAAAATACTAAAGATATAAAAGTCTCTGTCACAACTGCTGAAATAACCATTTTTGTAGCGTTTTGAATCTCAGGACTAGTTGACTTCTCCCAGTGAGTGTTTAGTGAAATTTATTCCATAATTGGATTTTTAAAGTAACATCACTACTAAAGAATAAATCTTTTCTTATGTTTATTGCTCTCTAGGCAAGTTTCTAATGGGGCTTGTCATTGAAAGCTCTAATAGTGTCATAAGTATAATGTCATAAATTGCACTACTTACAGGCTTTGATTCTGAGTATCAGTAAGCACGACCCTTAATTTAAAACATGATATACTATCATTCGCCTTTGAGTTGTAGGGCCGTGCTTCCTTGATTGATCGCCTCGATAACTGTTATAATGTAAGTCTTGACGGTGCATAATATCAGAAGGTAATGGGAAGCGGCAACTACATTTTTATTAACAAATGATGCAGACCAGAAAGCTGTGAACACATGAGCAAGTGTAAGCGAGCGAAACATACATGACACCTCGTTTTAAGCAAGCGTTAATCAACATTTATAGTCATACAAAAATGAATAACAGACATATGATGAATAAGATACGAAGTGTGCATACACATACGCTCATATAAAATGGTAGTCAAGGTTAATAAGGGAATAATTAACAAGATCAAAATATGACTCATAATGGACAGACGAATTGGCTTGGCCAGAAGCTAGAATAAAGTATATGGGCTTAACATATAAACTGATACTACAGAGTAATTATCATTTTTTTTCTCAGTTTTTACGGTTATTGCAGAAAATCTATTTGTTTTAGTAAATTAGTCTATTAAAACAATTGATAAATCCGTTGTACATTGAATATTGATTATCGTATTTAAAGCAAATTCAATGTTATGAACATATTTGAATTCTTAAATTTTACTGATTTATATTCCTTTCTTTAATTATTAACTCTTTCATGATAGAGTTTACCACTTTCAACCAGTAACTTGCTACAACTCATTAAAGCAAATCGCTTTATGTAACCAACAATACACTTGTTTTACTAGTCAAAAGTCAAATCTTTAAGTAATTGAACTAAGTGAAAAGAGCATCTTATTTATGTGTGTATAAACAGATTTTGTAGTTGATATGCTTGATGCTATTACGAGTTCACCTCACTTGGTAAACGGAACGAAGGACAATGATACAGTGACATTATAGGCTATTCTAATCCGTTGTCCCGGCCCTGCTAACTAGATCAAGAAGTCTTGAATAGGCGTAGAGAATGTATTCTACAATCACCCAGAAAATACGAGGTCGCTAAGCGCGCAAATCAAGCTTATTTATACAATGATAGAAACGCCCTTGGGAGAGCCACAAGATAGCGTACTAAAAAGAGTCGGCCAACCAATGACAGTCAAGGATTTCCGAGTGGGAAATGTAAGCTGTAGGTCAACTAAGCCTTTCTTGGCGTGAACACATAAAGTTCAAATTTTCAAAATAAAACTGCAAAATTACGACCTTTTCCAAGTGAGTTCTGGAGATCTAACGTCCCCAACAGTATTAAATTTAACGAAACAGAAGATAAATAGTAAAGTTGAATTATCACCAGTTTTTGCTTTTCAATTGTTATGATGAAACGATAAATGGAATTACAATTTAAAGAAGGTTGAAATCAGTAACCATCTATAGATTATTCTTTCTGACATCATCACTGAAACTAACCTATGGAGTCAATTACTAAAATTGATTTTTTTTTGCCTGTGTTAATTCTTACTGAAGCTTCTCATTACATGATTAAGGGAAGCATAAAACGTACAATCAAAAACGCATAATAATCTCCAATGTGGTACTGCTATTCTAAAAATATATGGCGGGCATGCATTACAAACTAGAATACGTGAGTTGTCTACAACATCTACCGTATTTGTATAAATCAAAGTAGGATGCTTCCTAAAATGGATATATAAAGGTTGTTTGCAACAGCATAAGATAAACTATTTGATAAAAAATACCTGTGTCGAAACTACAAAGGTAGGAAACAATCGAAAATGGGAATGAAGAGTGCTAGAATGGAAACTGTTACAATAACGTAAGTGTTCAATGAGTACACTAGAACTGGAAACAAGTGTTATGAATGTAAAGGATATGCATTAACGGTGATAGACAAATCGAAGTCTACCAGTTCACGTGAATACTTGAAATATTGCACAACAACGGATAAGCATTGCACACCACGCACTCAAAAAATATTATGGTTGAAACTGATTACTGAAGTTGTAGTATAAAATGATAAACAAGAAGAGAGTGAAGATAGAAAGCACTAATCGATTCAGCAGCCTATTACACTTATAAATTCAATTAATTGAATATAAAGCGCAACTTCATTATATTATCTGGTCATCACTCGAAATTCCATCAATAGTACACAGAGTAGCTAGCGTTAAATAAAATTCTCTACTAGGTGCTTGAAGTTATTCGGCATTAATTTTCAAGACTATAATATCGCAATTGTTGACATTTAGATTTTACAGTTTATTACAGTTCTCTCCATTATTGGTTCACTGATCTAGTCTTACATTGTTTTATATGGAAGGATTTTTATTTACATCAAGAGTTAGACAAAAGATGTCATTTAAGTCATTACAAATTTGTTCTGTGGGTAAACAGGATATTGATCATTTAAAATGTATACATATTTGATCTTTTACAAATAGGAGTTGCATTGACTGAACGATCTATTGACTGTGCTGTCATATGGTGAATTAACATTAGATTCATCGTTTGGTGGAGATTAAATTTCAGAAATTTAGATTACATATAAAAAAAGAACATAATGAATTTCTCTTATACAGTTAGTGTTTTATGAATTGAGTTATAAATATACACTTAAGTTGGTAAATGCATGCTTGTATTAATAATTAATACCCATTGTTTCATTTGATACTATAAAAAGCGTGTAAATTTTTAATTTATTTACTTTATAGTCAATGTTTTTATTTGTTAGGCCACTTCATCAATAGAAAGATAACAGCCTAACTTACTCTACACTTGGTTAATTGATTTTCTCTCTCTCTCTCTCTCTATATATATATATATATATATATATAATTATTATTATTGTCCAGGTCATTTAATCGTCTTTCTCCAGTTTCACCAAACCGGTATGTATCAATCTCTAAATAAGCAATATTACATTAGTGATAATCTTATTGTTTGTGAACCAACTCTGCTTCTCTACTCTAACGCAGACACATAACCGCCTCTTCTTTGTTCACCAGTTTTGTTTGCATTTCTGCTCAACATTTAATTCAATCCTAAAGCATTCACACAAATTATGCATAACATTTTTAATTGTATCTTCGTTAACATATTCTTGTGTTTTTTTTTGGTTGAATTCTATATCACTCATTGTGTGTTTTTATGGTTTAAGAGGAACCAAAACGATAAATAGTACCACCTAAAGAACCAATGTTTTCATAAAGACGAGTTACATAGTGCTTGTGCCATTGCAGACTCCTTGATAAACACAGTGTCGAAGGTCAATTATCTTTGTGTTACTTTTTTCTCTGATCTCTCTTAGTCTTCTCATGTTTTACTGTCATCGAAAAAGGTTTACTGTTTGACTTACTACATAAAGAGGCTGCACGCTTTTGGGGTTACTCGCCATTTACTCTTACAATTTACAAATTCTTGCATATTAACTATTATTCTTTATTGTTCTCCATTATACTTCTCCAAGCTTTTAAGAAAAGACTTTTCTGTACTGCGGGGAGTGCTGAAGGCAGTTAGCAAAGTGTTTGGTGAACCTTTTGAGATCACTATTAATATGGTTGTGGATAGAAATCTTAAGTCTTGCAAACTCCTGGCAGGTGTTATCTTATCAGATACTAACCATCCACCTCATTCATATCTTTCTCCTTGTATATCTTCTGGTAGAACGAGACGTAAATGCATTAAAATCCATGCACTCAAGCAAATCTATAAAAAGTTCTGTAATACCTTACCCAGCAAATATACAGGTTGTTGCCGACCATCGTTATTCAATAGGATTGATCTATGAACCATTAAATGCCGCTCTTACAATGGATTCACATATAAACTAGGTATTTACATTATTGCAATGGTTACCAGTAAATCAGCTGGTTGAAGGGGTCTACAATATGCCGTCTGATATATGAAGTCGCCTGATTATCATTTTGAATAATTACTTATATATTTCAAAGTAGTTAATACACGCAGGTTGTAACTGGTTTTGCTATGAAATCTCACTCACCATATATGGAATGTGTCAGAGATTTGTATCCCAACAACCTATTGAGCACACGTGCTTGTTCACTTCAAGAGGCACAGTTTCATTCACGTTTTTTATAAACTTTCCATGAAATGACTGGTTTATCCCGAAATCATTCTACGTGATCTTGGTCGAGATAAACGATCATCTTTAAGCGACAATGGTGATTCACTAGATATTATTTATTGCAATCCCAGAATCACCCTACTTCGAGCGAAATACACACATCCAATATGATGGTTATATCACTGTCAAATTTAAGATTAATCCAAATAGACAGCAGTGAAAGATTCTCATTCAGTGGTATTTTTTATTATCCTTAAAATTCAGTCCGTATCCACCAAAATCTCTCAGCGCGTGAATAAACTGAGAGGTGAACCTGGGATTTCCAAATTTATAAAAAA